TACACGTAACCGTACGCAATTTCTTCGTCTTATACATAGCCTCTTTTAACGTTAAATTTTAATCAATTATAATAATTTTTTTATTCAACAATTCAACTAAAAAAATTAAAAGGAGCCTAAATAAAATTGTTTTCTGTTAAAATCCGACTCTTTTCAGTTTCAAGGAACTCGGTTTTCTTCGGCCATAGTTTACGGTCTTATTAATCACGTCCAGCGCTCGCCAAAAAACGTTGGCGGGTGCGAAGCTGCCTGTTGAACTGTCAAATGGAGATGAATCCAATTTCTTCTACTCTACTGCATTTATTTACATCAAAATTTACAATTTTTCTGCCACCTGGCCAGATGCATATTCTAGCTTTCAGATTTTATGCTACCCGGCAGATACATTCCATTAATTAATGTGCAGCCTTTTGCAAAAAAATAGAAGCACCAAGAAGGACTTTTGCTATCGTGACGGAATTTGGTATGCAAAAACATCTTGATCGAACATGCAAATGATCAAAGTTTCAAGGTAAATGAACAGGAATTGCGATATTGCGAATAGCGCGCATTTCTAGGGCGCAATTCGCAAAGTATAAAACCAGTAACAGAGGCGGAAAAGTTACTTTTTTTTTTTTTTTTTTTTTTTTTTTTTGTTGTTGTTGCCCATTGTAATTCCTTAAAGAAGCAACTAAAGATGCCATTACGGCGGTATCGAACTAAACGACTTCGAACGTGGTCGCATTGTAGGGTTGCGTGAAGCTGGGTGGTCTTACTGAGCAATAGGCCGCCACCTGCAGCGTACAGACACTGCTGTGCAAAGGTGTTGGCAGCAATGGTTGCCACAAGGAAATTGCCGACGAAATGAAGGCTCTGGAAGGCCAAGGAGCACATATGCGAGGCAAGATAGGATGATTGTTCGTCAGGCCGGAACCGCCCCAACGGTATCATTGTCGACTATTCAACGCACTACAGACACGTCTACACATCCCATGGTACCGTCGGCCATCTCACGGGGCTTTTCTGAGGCGGGGTTACGCTCACAGAGGCCTTTAAGATGTTTGCCTTTGACCCCATAACATCGGCGGAGACGTCTGGAGTGGTGTCGCAGTCGATCATCCTGACTACTATCAGACTGGCATCGTATAGTGTTCAGCGATGAATCCCGCTCCCATTTCACTCTTGAAGCAGATGACCATCGTGTTCGTGTCTGGAGAAAACGGGGCCAGCGGTTCCTCTCAGCCTTTGTTTTACAGAGGCATACAGCTATAAGCCCTGGTGTGATAATATGGGGCGCTAGTTCTTATGGCAGCAGGTCATCTTTAGTCATCCTCCGTACATATTTAACAGCTCAACGATATGTTAATACCATCCTGCGGCCGGTTGCATTATTCTTCGTGTCATGTCATCCTGGGATCATTTCCAACAAGATAATGCCAGACCAAATACCGCTCGCATATCTCTGGACTGTCTCCGTGCGGTTGATACTCTTCCTTGGCCAGCAAAGTCACCAGACCTTTCACTAATCGAGCATGTCTGGGACATGGTAGGTCGCCAGATTCCGGCACGAAAAAATATCGCAGATTTGGAGCGGCAACTGATGAATGCCTGGCAGAATGTGTCGCAGGATGACATTAGGAACCTCTACCACTACTTACCTCGACGAATTCAAGCATGCCTCCAGGGGCGGTTCGACCAACTACTAATTTGAACACTTAGTGGGTAATTGTGAACCGTTAACAAGTACTATGACCTTGATCTTTCAATCATTTTACTATATGTGTATGAGCTATACACATATTTAATTTCATCGAAAACAACCACTTCCTTCATGGTGCTTCGATTTTTTTGCAAAAGAGTGTAATTAGCCATCTACTCATCTCGCTAACGGTGACACGTCGAAATCTAACCCTCCAAGTTCTGTGACACAACTAAGCTACTTTTATGCGCGGTGCGCCATGTAGCGAAAACCACCGCAATTGGAGGAGACTAAACAGCATTATAAATACCTGATTTCAAACAATTGTCAATTATCAGCCTTTTTCTGTCATATAATTATGTAATAATAAAATCTAAATAGTTTTTACTTATTAGTGAATGTAGTTAAAGCCTTGTAATTTAAAATGTCTTTTTATAAATCTTATTTCAAATAAGTTTAAAGTAAACTGACTGGAAATTTCATTATAAATCATTAAAATTATAATTAATTACAAATCCTAGTCATTAAATTATTCTCCTGAAAATTGCAAATGTCTCGGATATAACTGTTAAAGTGTTTTAAAAATTTAATTAAAAACGGAAAGGTTTGTTAAAGTGCGCTGAAAAATGAAATTCAATCTTAAACTGATAATTAATTTGAGAAAAAGTTCTATGCACTACCTTAGAAAATTATAGGCCTTTCATCTTGAACGAGCAAATTTTGTTCAATTAAGATAAGTTCATTACTAAAATGCAAATAAAAACAAATACATGTGTATGAAATATGTATGAAAAGTGCGAGAAATAATGATGACATCTGGTGAATAAAATGAATGCCAGAATTTGAAAGGAAGCTAAAATAAATGCATTATATAAATTGTGTAACACATTACGAAGAATATAATCTCAATTAATAAATAAGTTATTAAAATATTAATTAAAACTGATGGATCTGAAGACTTCAAATCCTAATAAGGTATCTGAAGACTTAAACACCAATTTTTTTTCTGAGAAGACAACAAATGACTTGAAAGCAGAGAATTCAAGCAAATTTCTTGAAAACAGAAGTAGAGAGAGAACAGAACTTTATCAAAATTGTTTTAATTAACTAATGTTGTCTATAATGGTCAGAAAAAGCTTTCTAAAAGATGTTTTGTAACAGACTCAAAGTTAATTTAGATAAAATAAGTTAAATTTAAGAAATGTGCATTCTATAAAGAATGTTTGCATATTTTTAAACAATTTTGATCAAACAAATAACTGAAAATATCAAATACAAATAACAGGCAACATCTTTTATGCTGAGAATAAGTTATTGTTAAAGCCATAAAAAATTTTGCAACTTCAAAATAGCTCAAATATATTTTGAACAGAAAATTATGTTTTTGTATTATCCGAAGGAAAAATATTCTCATTTTTCAATACGAAAAAGATATGAAAATTTTAAACTCAAGGTAACTAGCGGTATAATAAACAATATTACTCAAAACGAAGGAAACAAATTGACAGTTGCTGCTATCTGTAGAAAATAGAACGTTGAATGTTTATTATATGCACCTCGAAGACCATTTCGAAAAATAAAACTATACTTTCAAAGTAGGATTCTCTTCTCTACTTGCATGTCTCTTCTCTGACTCAAAATAATAAAGAAAGATTTATGTGTTAAAAAGCATTTATTGCCTTCTTCCGACATACGCAGCAGAACGTAAAACCGTCATAAAAGTTTTTCGAAAATCATTTTTATCGCGTGCAAAGTGGAAATTTGTTGTGATCGTTACAAGTAAATGTAGAAAAGACATGGCTTTAAATGAATGATTGTAACAAAAAGCAATAAATTTATTATCTTAAAAGAGAAGCGAAATCTTGGAAACTCGTTTTTATTATTATAAAGAGAGTTTCAGTAAACTATTTAAATCTTAGATGTTCATTCAATAAAAAGTCTAAAATTCAGAATAGGCAAAAGATATTAAAAAATTGTATGGCTAATCAAAATTATATATCGATTCTCTTATTTTAAAAAATAAGACCGCTTACTTATCCATGTTGTGCCATGGTTTGGGTGATGTCATGTCGCACTTCAGTCCACATACTCATGTGAAGAGACAAGCCAGTAAGAAAAGTACTCCTTTTCTTCTTGGCCAATAATATGTTGTTCAAAGATATTATTGTAACAATTAAGAACCATGTGCTTTAACAATCATGCTTGTTTTCGTTTTATGTGATAGCTCACCAGTGGCCTCTGCTGCGGTTTGTTTAAATCAGTTTGTACTATGTCCAAATAAAAGCACGGTACAGTCCATTAATTGCGATTTCTTCTTCACCTAAGACAGAGAAATGCTCCAGTGATGCATCAATACATATAAACCATGAATCAAAACCAGGAACTACTTTATTTCTAAATCCTAAGAAAAAGAGTTTAGTATAAACTGCACATTTACCCTCTTCACATATTTCAGCAAAAAGTTCTGATGTGATGCCAATGAATTACTATGTTTTCAGATTGTTAAGAAGAGATGTTTCGATATACGCACCGACTAAACAGGTGTAATTGATGGATTTTTTAAAAAGTTATTTAAGAAAAGCGTAGAAAAAATTCCCCAAATAGACGGTCCAACAGATGATTGAGAATAATAACTGGATTTAGATTATTATGGTGTTTTACGGGATTGATGTAGCTGGGTAAATATTATAATTTTTTTAACTTAACATCACTAAACTGCATTTTTTCAGGTAATATTTATTTCCCGCACTTTAAAATGTTCAGAAAATAAGTGCAAGATGATTTTGCTGTTGTGTTTTATTCCTTTTACTACACGTTCAAAATGTATATTTCCTACTACTTCGTAATTTTATTAATATATCGTTATTCATAAACCTTTGAACCGCACAAAAATCATCGAATAGGATAAGCTCTGATAGTTGGCTTCTCTAACATAACTCTGTCCACAATACTCCTAAAATGCGTTGAACTGTAATTTTTCCATTTTAGAAAGGGTTCATTATATTATATTTTATTTAACTTATAAACTTTGTTTAAAGTAGAGTACAGTAAACATAAAACTACAAAACGTGCAGTAAATATGTATTTGACCTGTAGAAAACCTATTTATCAAGATGGTTTTTATTGTACTTATAAGATCAATAATTTCAATATGTGAAGGCTTAAAAAGATTAATTTGAATGTTTCTCTAATTCCCTAATCTACTAATTGATTTTTTATGTAACAGTATAAATAAATCGCAAAAACTTTCTCATTAACCCCCCCCCCGAATGTCAGTGTTTAACTCCATCGCTGTATTAAGAATGCTTTCCCTTTTCCTCAGGTAAACTTTTGGCGAGAGAGTGGCTAAAATTTTATTTCGGAGTTTTCGACGAAAATGGATTTCCAGATGACACTATGTATCCACTCTACTACAAAGTTCCCGGAAACTCTTCTTCGGATATAAAAATTACAGACTGCACTCATCCAGCAGCAGAATACTATTTTAAGTAAGATTTTTAGTTTAACAATAAATAGCTTGTAGATTAGAAAAACATAACCTTATTTCCTAGAAAAATAGATTATTATTTACTTGAGTAGCATTTACGGAAATGATGAATTTCCGTTTGTGTCTGAAGTTATATTGCTAACGAAAAGTTATTGGAAAAGAAAGTTTTATCGACAGTTTTTTAAAAGATTAGATTTGACGTTCTTCTTATGGGATAAATGAAACAGAAAACTATTGCCATGCGAAACATAATATATATATATATATATATATATAAAGCTTACAGAAAAAAACAGAAAAAATACCAGTATTGAAAACATGGAAAATTACTCATACAGCAACAAAATGTGTCATATTATGTCGCATTCGAAACTGAGCCGTTTCAAAATCCACTTCAGCTTTCTTGAATTTGATTAAAAAGTCAAACCTCTGAAAGTCTTGTTCTTCGGGGCTTTCTGGTTGTATGTAATTGTTGTATGTAAAATTATGAGTTCTCTTAATTGACACTTTTTACGTTAGCTTCAAAATAAAATGAAAATTTTAATACCCGTCTACTGCTTCTATAGTAATATCATAAATTTCCCTTGCATTTATGTGATATGTACACTAAAGTGCCCTTGAATTAGGAATAGACATGCCTATGCAACTCTTGTAGCGCTGCGCCGCATTATGCTCACGGGAGAGCGTTGTGGTAACTGCATATGCAGGGTGTTCGTAAATGTTGCAACAAACTTCTGGGGAGATAGGGCACATCATAAGGATTAAGAATTGCATAGGAGCCTATGCCTAGAAACGAATTTGTACGCCGCCAAGGGGTGCTGTACAGGAGAGTACTAGTGAGGATTGCTTTATTCGAGCGGTAGGCACCATATGAAGAGTATGGAACGTTATACGAACGGAGAACTTGCAGACGTGCACTTAGTGTATGGAATAGCTGAGGGTTGATGCAAGCATTTATCGAGAACGCTTCCCCGAAAGACATCAACCGCACCACAGTTTGCTTGCACGTCTGCATCAAAATTTGTGAGACTACGGGTCAGTAAGAAGTGGCAGGACAAGTGAAGGCAGGCCACGATCGACTTGCTCGGTCGTTAGGGAAGAAAGTATGTTGGATGCGGTGGAGGAAGTAATCCCAGGACCAGCATACGTGCCATTGCCTCTCCAATTAAGAATGTCTCGTACCAGCGTGTCTTGAACGTCAAGTCCTTCTACGCTTTTCGTCTCAAGGGTGCTCCCCGATGACCATCCTGAACGTGTTCGTTTCGCACAGTGTTTTCAGAAGAAAGTGCCCGTGATGTTAATTTCCCAGCTTATGTGTTGTTCACGGAGGAGGCCACGGTCAATAGAGATGGTGTATTCAATAAGCATTTCTGGACTCATATTCCCACATGTGCGGCACCACGCGGCCGAACAACGCTTTAAAGTTAATGTATGGGAGGGTTTGGTTGGTGATTGCTTAGTCGGGTCGTACCTTTTACCATCCAGGTTAAATGCCGCGTATTATCTAATCTTTCTGGAGCAGATTTCTCCTGTCTTGCTTGACGACGTCGCAACATGTAGTTCCAACATGATGGAGCACCTGCTCATTTGAGTAGTGGATGGTCGTCACTGGATGTTCATAGCCATTTGAACAGATCATTCCCCATCGAAGGATAGGTCGTGATGAGCAGGTTTCCTGGCCCCCACGCTCACCGGCTATTTATCTCAGCCTTGATTTCTTTTTGCGGGGAGTGTACTGAAAGTGTCGTATTTTACGATCCTGTTGTGTCTGAAACGGATCTCGTGGTAAGACTCGCCTACGTAGCTGCTACAATCAATGAAACTCCCGTTGTGTTTGAACATATCCGGCAGTCAATGGTCTGTCAGTGTCAGGCATGTTTGGCATCTGATGGTGCAAACTTCGAGCATCTGTTGTAACATTCAAGCTGCCGTACATAATTTGTATTCATGTCAGATAAATGTTTCAAATTAATCACTCTCTTGTTTCCTTTCCCATCTTCTTCCTACCACTTACCCCTGCCATTTCCGGGCATGGTCTCCTACGCAATTCTTAATCCTTATGATGTGTCCTCCAAAATTTTGTCGCAATATTTGCGGGACACCCTGTATAGCTAGGGGCATTTACAGGACAACATTTACGGGATCTGTATAATAGACTGATTAACAACACTATGGTTGCTTTTAATCAGTCGTTTCAATTGCCCCGTAAGGGTAAAACTTCTGATTTAGGTACCTTCGATGCGGAGAGATAGTAGGCCCTCGACGCATGGGCCATTCAATTTCTGAAATCATCAGAGGTACTAAGAACAATGAGCTTTGAACGAGAACGGCGTGAGATGGCTCACGCTGTGAAGAACCCGCGAAGCCAATCTTTAGCTCAAATTATCACCCATCTGGATCAGGACGCCAGTCGTATAGTCTCTAACCGATTGCACAACACTCACTTTCCCATGTTTCGGAACCCGTAGACCCACGAGAGTACCGTTCCTGAATGCATGTCATTGAGCTGCATGACTTGCGTGAGTTAGAGAACACACACAATGTATTCTAGAGGACTGGAAAAGAGTAGCATGGAGTGATGAGTCTCGTTTACGACCACTTGACACTGACAGAAGGCTGAGAATATGACGTCAGGCTCATGAAGTCATGCGAACCTTCCTCAATATGATTCGGCACGTAGATTTGCTTAACGATTATCTCCATCCATTTATGTTGACCTGTCATTCAGATGGAAATGTAGTATCCGAGTAAGATAATTGCACTTCTCACAGGCCCCGGTTGGCTACTGCCTGGTTAGATGAGCATTCCTCTGACTTCTCTGTCATAAACTGTCTACCTAGAAGCCCTGATTGAAATTCTAAGCACCTTCCGGATGTTTTGAAGAAAGGTGGGAAATCTCATCACATAACAATAGCACCACTTCCTGGATTATCGACTGCTCTACCCGATGTTTGGCAGCCATTTCCGTAGAACGCGACCGTAAAATTTGAATATATGTCTCGTCGAGTAGCAGCCATTATCAAAAGCGAAAGGAAACCTAACTCGTCATTGAATTGCTATAATTTGACGCTTTATTGCCGTGGCGAGACGCTACAACTATTGCTTCAAATTAACTTAGTGACTCTACAACTTGTATAAATAATACTTTATTACTTTCTCAAATGCTATATTCGAAATCTCGTGAAAATATTCCACCATGAGCATTACCTTGAGGCAATGAGATTCGTTGACTTGCCTCTAGATAATGATTCGTTGAGGATGTGTTGAGTTGTCGGTTTATTCTTGAAAATTGCAAATGAGAATATTTGAAGACTTTTTTGCGATAAATATAGTGTTATGAAATGCCAGCTACGGTAAGATATCTTCTCGGCAAGGTGGGTTTAGGGTTGCCCAAAAATGGCAAGGGAAGGCAGGGTTGTCATATTTGGCGCTAAATCGCCCATTTGCCGACAAAACTAGCCATATAAATGGACGGAGAGAGAACATTCTAAAACGAATTCTTACCGGTTTAGTCCAGAATGTTTTCGAAGGCAGGTCAAAAAGCAGTTTAGTTTTAAATTAGATAGCTCCCATGGGATCCTACATGTCGACGAACTCACTAACTGGAATTCTGAGAAAAATATAAAATCAATATCTGTTCCTATCGTACAGAACAGCTAATTTCATGCATGTATTTTGCTTTACCAGCAGTGGTTATAAGATGAATGAATCTGTTTAAAAATAAGGAATTCTAAGAGTAAATCATCCTAAACTCTCATTCAAAACGTATTCTAAATCAATACAATGTGTCATTATGTGAGCAAATCGTAAACAAAGTTCTAAATTCGTGAATTTTGCACACAATTGTTTCGAACTTTTCATTTATTTAATTAAAGTCATACAGTGAAAAATGTTATTAATTTAAAATTTCGCTCGACAGTGACAACATGTTACATTTCGTTACCTACACATCCTCACTGTGCAGAATCTGTTTTTCATTGCTAATCTACCTTCTACTGAAACATTTTATAATTGGTTGTATACAGTTTCGATTTATGTTTAAAGAAGTAAGCTTGCAGAGACTTTTTAAGCACATCTTTTAGTATAAAGTAAACAATTTAAAATAAGTATTATCGCTTTCTAAATTTGTAAATTTTGTTCGAAATTCTTCAATGAACTGAAAATTGAGATTCAGTTTGCCTTCAAAGATATAAGCTTTCACAAAAGGAACCCGTGGAAGATATTTTTGGCAAAACTGATTTGATTTAGTCTACGTTTGATGAAAACAAGCATCATTATTGTGAAAAGTTTCTGTTCTGGAAATCGAAGTTAGGGTATAACTGGGAATTTTCAGCAACCTTATTTACTCAGCCACTGGTTGTTATATTATTATATTATTCTACTAATATTCTGTAGATTAATGAATTGAACTAGAAATTTATCAAATGTTTTTATTTTAATCTGCTCTATATTTAATTGTACTCGAGCTTCTTACTGATGTGCATTAAAACTCAGTTGGTTGAAAAAATAAATCGATGTTTCGAACATAATAAATAAATTTACGAAAATGAAAGTACGACGATGCAATATTTTATAAACAAGAATTATTATTATTATTATTATTTGTTGAACTTTTGGCTAAAGGTTTTATAAACCACACCAGTCAGTTACCGTAATTTTGGAAAAAAAAATAAGGTGAACAGAACAAAGTTAAAAGCATAGCGGAAAAGAGCATACATACTTATATTTTATTATTAAAACCATACTGTTTCTGCTACAAATATGTGTTAAAAGTCAAACAGTATGTGGGCAAAATCGCTTTCCCTGATTTAAAACATTCCGCATGAAGTAACCGTGGGAAATAAGGAAAAAAAGGCATTTTTTTAACTTGCACTTGATTGCGCCACGGAAAAGTTTGTAGCCAAATGGCATCCATGAAAGAAAAAGAAAGCAAAATATATTTTGTGGTACTTGAGACTAAATATCAGTGGTGCTTATGTTAAGAGTATTAAGGAATTGGTAAAAATAGTTATAAAGTAGAATAAGAACCGAATCTTTATCGTACCAGTTCGTGATACTTCATGCTCTGTCAAGTTATGTTGAGCAAACACTGGCGAATATTGAACAATATGTGGCTTAATCTGAAATACCGATTTGACCTTCTCCAAACTGCAGATCCAAACACACTGAAATTTATGCAGCACCGTTCATTTAAAAAAATCTGAATTACAGTAATTACTATTTACAAAAAACTCTATGTCTATATATAATAGTTTTAAATCAATAAATTTTTGAAACAAGGTAAAGATTTTTCGCGCACCCTGTATTATTTGGAAAGAAATTTCATATACTCGCTTTTGGTAATTCTTGAGTAATTTATGTTTGTGAGCTAAGTAGATCACGGTATGCTAATAATGTAATTACTTTTTCTTCCAAGAGTCTACCTATTGTCCTGTTTGTGTGCTATTCTATTTCTAACCAATTATTTGTTCATTTATTTAAATTAAGCAGGGGGAGGGAAACCTCATATCGGCGCAGATTTCATGTGAAACTCAAAGATGTTATTTTATATAAAATTACTGCCAATCTAAGGCCCCCGTAATTCTATATTTATTACATAAATATATTTATCCCCTAAGTGGATAATCTCATGAATCGGATCTCCAAAAAACAAACTTGATTAAAATCGTCTAAATTTTCTGCTCAGGCCAGAAGACAGGCCACAAAAACTCCTAAATATTTGTTGACATTAAAAAGAGGGAAAGAGGGGAAAAGACACAAGCCGCGATTTTGATACTTGCGTTTGTGTTAGGCGCATCAGTTTGGCAAAAGGTATGAATCTCGCCAAGGTGTACCCTGTTCTGAAAAAAAAAAATCAGTAATTTTTAGGGATTTCCCTGCATGCTACAGTCTGCTACGTAATCGAACATATGCCGAATGTCTTTTTAGTGATTCGGCGTTTTGCATCCAGGTCATAGAAAATACATATTGCAGAAGCACATTCGTATATTTTCATTTGTTCCCTAATGTTGCAAATTCCTGTTCTATGCTGGATTCCAGTCCACAAGGCTATCACCGGAAATGAATTGGCAGACGATCCGGTGAAGCATACAGCAAGCAATGACGGTAAGCAAATAATCGAATAGGAAACATACATATCAACATGGAGCTATGTACAAATTTTAATATGAGCAACAGCTCTGAGTATAATGGGATAGTGTACCGCTGTACTCCTACTGCTTCAGAAAACTAAGGTTGTAGATGCATCTGGGCCAGGCTGCATATCACTTGACAGGATTGAGTAGGCAGTCGTACAATATGTAATGACGGAGCCAATTTTATTTTGTGCAGATATGTTACTGCTGATGTTAGCAGGAACAGATCTGCCCAAAATAAAATTGACTAAAAGTATTCACACAAAAACAAATTATTTATTTAAAAAAAAAGTTATTTTGCTCTTAGCGGCCCACGCTAGTAATGTAAATCATGAAAAAAGGACCCTGAATATTTTGTTTTACTTTGAAGGCCTAAAAATTCTACCTACGCCCCTATCCATTTTATATATCTTAAGATGTTGTAAACTTCCAAAAAATTGTTGAAGACTGGGTGCAGATTGCGCCCACAATGATGTGTGCATCATACTATGCTTCTAAAAATTGCTTCGTCCGCATATAAAGTTTGTTTAAGAGTCACAAAGACTGCGTTAGAATGCAACAAAGCAATTGTGCAGTTTACACGCCAGGTACTTATAACCATCGGCCAAGATTAAAATTATTTGTGTCTTCTTACGCATCCTAAAGGCCAGTTCGAGTGGTTACCAGTAGTTGATATTAATTTCTTAAAATTGTGTTTAGAAGAGGTTTTTTATAAATTACAAATGGGAAAAACTACACTTGTTCATAAAATTATTAATTAGACAGATCGTGTAAAATGTATTTGTTTTTAAATCTCAATCAGATGCATTATCAAAAAGTGTAAATAAGGCTATTAAGACTTTTTTATAGCTTTAGATTATTAAATCGCTTAGTTTCTTAATTAAGAAATGACATATTAAATTTGAAAGATAAATTAAATATACTTTACCGGATCGCACCTCACTGGGCATTGGAATAAAATAAAAATATATCATTTAAAGCAGTGGCAACGGCAACTCATTGCTTTTAAATCGCCGAGTTTGTTAATCTAAAAATCTTAAAATTTTTATAAAACATAAACTAAATCAAAACCAACTTTCAGATTCAAAATTCGGGTCTTCATATGTATGTACATTTACGCGTATTAATTATCTGGTGAGCCTAGGTGCTATCATCTTTCCACAGATCGAGGAACTCACCTGTAGATTCTTTATTTTTTGTTAATAATATAAAATAGATCATTAAGAGAAAAGAAATTAATAGAAAAGAGACATCCTAATTAAAAAAATATGAAATTTGTGAATTACAAACTGAGTTTTATTCATTTATTTATTTATTTATTTTTTTATTTTTCTGTTTAGGAAGGGTGAGGAAGACTGTACTTTGGAAGTGAATGACCAGAATGGCTTACCAAGTTCAGACTCTTCGGAATGTGAAATTCGTGTTAGAGAAGACAGCAGAAATAAAGTTCACTCGTCGCTAATGTACTTTCACAGGGATCTGACTCAAGTAATTCATTAAAATAACACTAATTTTGTACTATCATTAATATTTTTATCTGGTGTCCTAAAAATATATACAAAATAGTGTCTTATATATTAAAGTGGACCTTCACCATATATAACGAAACCGAATCATAACGAGCCCCCGGATATAATGAAAAAGCGTTTTGGCAGTTTCCCATACACTTAATGTTTATACTGTTGTAGCGAACTTCTGAGCCTATGAAAATTAGATATAACGAACTACATGGATATCTTCGATTGAAAGTTTTATTGCATTTTTCATATTTTTTTTCCGAATTTCTCCAAATTTTAACGAAAAAATTACGAATCATGAAATTATACACATTTATTGCAGTATTAAATTACACATCTTATTCAAATTCTACATTGCAACCACAAAGGACGTTATTTATATTTATGATATCCCTCTACTTTTCTTTTTGGTCTAAACAAAGACTATGCGAGATAGATGTGACACCAAACTCTAGAAGAACGCGTAACTCAGACATATCTTATTTGAGTAAAAATACTGTCCAAGTTCAATTCTCCAGAATAAGTGTTTTACAGTCTTACGTCTTTTTCAAAATACAAGATATTCTATATAAATTTATTGAGTTCATATTATAGTACCAACTCTACAGTTGGTACTATAATCAAAATCCAAAACTCTGTAACTTTTAGGTATGACAGAAAAACCGAAGAAGATGGAGCACAGAGGCATTTACAAGAAGCATGATTTTCTGCAAATTTCTAGGCAGATGCTTCAGACAAAGACTGAAACATTTATCACATACTGTGGAGAAACTGGAAAAGAAATTACTTCAAATTTATTAAATGCGCGCAAAAGTAATTGCAATTAAATCTTAATATAATTTTTTTTACTGAGGTTTAATTTTCTCTCCTTTTGAGAGATCTGAATATCAAAATGAGTTTTTTCCTCAATCAGTGAATGTTTTCGCGTTTATCTGAGATAATCAATTTTGTTTTTATCAGATCGGATATAAGCGATATATCAGATCGGATATATAACTTTCGGTGTCTGAAGTTCGGTATAGCGAAGTTCGATTGCGTTTTCTGCCCTTTGTACATATTTCTCTTTCGAATTTAATATACTTAATATTTCAGTCGGTATTAAAAATACTGCAAATTTTTATAAGGTTTTATTTCGCTATATTCAAAAGATTTTTATTAATTTTAAATTATTTCCCGATAGGCTATATAGTTCGAATTTTGTACACGAACTCTTTGCGGATGACAATATAATGTGGTAAAGAGATTTATTTCAAAATGTGCTTTAGATTGTATTTAATTTAACTGTGAAACGATTTTTGCAAGTTTTTTACCTGCACCATCGGATAAAGAAGGAAAACATATGTTTTAAATAAAATTTACGTCAAATTTTAATATAAGTTTCTATTCTTTGACTAATTTTCGAAAGTTGTTGTACTTTTTAGGCGCATCAATAGATTTAAAATTTCAACGTCTAAATTATATCTCTAACAAAGTTCTAAGAATTTCACAGATAGTAAAAAAAAATCTTCACCCTCTTTTAAGATAAAAGGATAAAAGGTTATTAAATGGACGACTTCTGTACTTAAAAAAAAAAAAAAAAAAAAAAAAAAATGCTGCAGCAAGCAGAACGAAAAACTTCGTTCTTCTTCGGGCGTCACTTGATCTGCTAGAAATAATTTCGAAGTTTTGATGTCACTATATGCCACATTATTTTTCTTTGCTTCATCATACATTCCTCTTATTACTGATTTTATTTATTTTCTTCCTTTTGCGAGAAGCAAAGTATGCCATTTGAAGTCTTCTACCCTTTAATAAATGCAATTTCTTTCTCCTCTTTTTTTTACATTTACCATTCATTTCCTTTACTAATTTAAGAAACGATAGCGTTTAAGAGTACATTAGTATTTAGAATAATTTGCAATGAAATCTATCACACCATTTTTAATTTTTCGCATTTTATAAGTCGAAAGGGAGAAATGCGAATACCTCGTCCAAGATAGTCTAAGATCCAAATGCACGAATATTTTATGGCAGATAATATAAATATATTAGAATATGAAGCTAGAAGTAATATATCTTATTTTAAGGTTGTAAACAGTAGCATTTGATCGAGGTAAAAGAATTATTATTCATTGTTGAAAAAAAATCAACTGAATAATTTCATTGATAAGGTTATAAGGTACCGCCAGACCAACCTAACCAAACAAATTGATCTTATGGTCCTAACACGCTATGCCAAGGTTAAAAGATATTTTCTCACTCCTTTCTGTGTGCCTTCGTAGTGTAACGGTTAGCACTCTCAGCGCATATTCGAGAGGTTCAGTTTAAGGTATTGCAATTTTCACTCTTTCCGCATCAAAAGAAAACCTAATGTCTCTACAAGGTGCTAAAACGAAGAAAATGCAAAATTAATTAACTTAAAAAAATAAAATACGCATTTTTAAAACTCATAAAATAATTAATGAAATAAAAGCAGACAGATAACTTATCGTATAGCTTAATAAGAATAAGAGATCAAATAACTCTCTTTATAAAAGCTATCTGCGATTTCATATCCAAATAATAAAAGCACGGAAGCCTAAATAGCGAAATATAATATTCGAATTACATTGTCAAAAGTATAAGGTAATGAACGGATTAAGAGCGCCCCATGCTTTATATATGATATAAAATTGTAGATGAGTTTTGTAAAGAGAATTAATTAATATCTTATTTCCAAGGAACTATAAGACAAATTATTTTTTCCTTTCAATTCATCGATTATTTTATGAGTTTTTAAACGAAAGCTCATTTAATAAAAACTTTTTATCGTTGTTTCTCTTCAGTTACAAGGAAATACTGGACATCTCAGAAAAATAACCACACCAAATGGTTGTTTGGTTTTAAGTTACATTTCTGAAAATTGCGTATTTCACGATAAAGTAAGAATAATGTACTAAGTCCCTCTAGCAGTTGTTTCAAGCAAAACAAAATTTAGAAAACTCGTCTGCCAGTTTAATATTTTCAAATCTACTATCTCTGATGATTCATTTTGGTGCTAAAGATTACTAAACGAACAATTCTATGAGTTAAAGTTTTTTTTTATATATAATTTAGTTTAACATTTCTTCAGATGTATTTTTAATTACTGTGAATTTTCATATGTGCGTCTGCATCAGATGTTATTATAAATTTGCTTGAGTAGTTCGATATTTGTGGATTTAGTTATCTTGGTATAAGTTTTAATTTAAGAAATTTTATAAATATAACCGTTGAAAAGCATGCTACTATTTTTCGTTAAAATTAGAATGCTTGATTTCAAAACAGGCTAATAACTTTTGGAGGTTAACGCGGTTAAACTTGGTAACATTTAGTAATATTTGTCTAAATGTCGCCAAGGCTGTGTATAATTCATGCTTCGCTCCTATCACTAATGAAACTATAACACAGACGTAAGAAAATGTTGGCAGTCCATTTTGTACAAGTATCTTTAATCGGAGTTCGTCGACATTGATAACTATCAAGAAAGAAACATTTCATCCTTATTTCAATGAAAGTGGGGGAGGGGGAGTGTATTATTGCATCGATTCAGTGCTGACATTTTCTGGGCTGAGTTGTGAATGATTTTAGTTTCAGTGCACCCGATGTCTTAATGTATTTCAAAGTTGAAATTTCGCAGTTTTTCCTGTTTGTGGAAGATTCATGTTATACGTTCAGGTTATCGGATTACCTGCTCGGATCCTCTGTGATACTGGAGCTTCTGCACGCTGCTACACTCATTATATCCAGTGTGATAATTTTGGAAATTTAGTTAAATTAATGCTCTTCCCGATATTCAATTACTATTTCAGAACAGAAAGAACAAAAATCCTTAGAAATTACTTTTAGTTAAAATGTTTTGCTCTGGAAAATCAAAATATGAAAATAATAAGAGACAGCACAGGTATACCTAAATAAACAAATTAAAACGAACAGCATCAAAGTAATATGCCTTGACTAGCATTTTAAATACAAGTTATAATGAGAAAAAAATTACAGTTTTACTTCTATAAATAGCTAACCATTCGAAATAGTTATTGTGTATAGTAAGTGATAGTATGATAAAATAAATGTGTTTATAAATTAATAGTCCTTCCTTGTCAAACAACCACCGTACATGTTTTTGGCAATATTTTGGAGACTAACATTTGAGAATCAATAAGTTGCACATTATAGATTTGGAGACTATTTTTGCTACTTTTGGTGAGAAACCGTGGTGGCTACTTAAAGAAAAGTACAAAATTATTTAACCGTTATAATGTTTCATGAATCTACCAAACTAAAATAATTTAATAGAGACATCATAAAAAAAAAGATTCCCATGTAATATAGGCAGAAATTTATAATTTTTCCGTGACATAAGTAAACCTTTTTGCTTTTTTACTACTAAGTATAAGTGCAAATGATTATAACTGCAAATAATAAAATTTTTTATGAAGAAAATGAGCAATAGCATACATGAGCAAACCCGAAAGAGCTCGGGTTTTAACGACCGCCCAAAAGTTCTCTATGCTCTTGCTGAGCTCGCAATCTACCAGTCTACTAAAATTTAATGGCTCTAAGTACCGTTGTTTTTTCACAATGCGAGGAACATACATACATGCATGAAGATTTTTCATTATTTAACTTTTTAAAAAATAATACAGAGCGGTAATATTTGGTGGCAAAAATTTGAAAGTGATACACTGTTTATAGTGGACAACGCAAAATCCCGTTTTGAGCCTCGAAGTCCATTGATCTTACTCCCTACTGGGCTAAAAATTATTGTTATGTACTAAAACTGCGTGTGATTGCATTAAAAATATTCTTTCTCGTATGATGATATATTTACTCACTTGATTCCACAGGTGGACTTCCTGTGCGGAGATCCTAACCATTCACACAATTCTGATGCTCCAAACAAGCATAACACTCTTTGCAATGGAAAGAGCATTACTGAAGTTGTTCGCAATTCTGGTATCGAGTAAGTTTAAAAAAGTTCTCTTAAACCTACTGAAAATTCTCTGCCTTCAAAATATTTAAAAAGTAACAAAGTAACATTGCTTATACATACTTATACGTTTAATTTCACGTTTTTCTAAATTTTATAAATACATTTAATTTTTATCTAAGGAATTAACTTTCTAAAGAAGAATGTTCAGATCATTGTTATACACTGCTCCACAATGAAACTGAAACATCAAGAAGGAGTGGTCAGAAATTTATGCAAATTTTAGAGTAGACGCACGTCACTGAGTTATGCGAATGATGTGAAATGCGCAGCTCTCCGACGCACGTGAAGTAAGATATAAGGGAAGGAACGTGCAGAATGGGCGATATTCGTGTCGTTATTACTGCCAGACGAATTATCGAAGAAAGTTGGTTTTTGTCCCGGAGGATACGTGTAATAGGAGACAATGCCAGGCCGCCGTCAACGAAGGCACTTCCAGCGGATAGACGATTTTACGAGGGGTATGGTGATCGGACTGAGAAGGGCGGGTTGGTCCTTACGTGAAATCACTGCTGATACCCACATGAATGCGAGCACGGTGCATCGGCTATGGTGAATATGGTTGGAACAAGGAAATGTGGGAAGAAGGAGGGGTGCAGGTGCAGCCAGAGTGACGTCAGCACGCGTGGATCGACGTATCCGCCGACAAGCTGTGGCGGTCCCGCAAGTCACTTGTACTGCGATTCCGCAGCATGTGCAAGATACCCTGGAGGCTCCCGTGTCGACCAGAACCATTTCCCGTCTATTGGTTGAATGTGACCTGCACTCACGGCGTCCGTTAAGAAGACCATTGACCCCACAGCATAGACGTCAACGTTTAGAATGGTGCCGGACTGGAGCGATGTGGATGACAGAATGGCGAAACGTCGTGTTCTCAGATGAGTCACGCTTCTGTTTATCCAGTGACAGTCGCCACATACGTGTGTGGCGTCGACGTGGAGGCAGATCTAATCCGGCAGTAACCGTGGAACTCGCCACTGCACGGCAACGTGGCATAATGGTTTGGAGCGCTATTGCCTACTATTCCAGATCACCTCTAGTTCGTATTCAGGGCACTGTGACGGCCCAACGATACTTGGATAATGTACTGCGGCCGGTGGCAATCCCCTACCTTCAGGGGCTGCCTAATGCAATTTTCAGCAGGATAACGCCCGACCACACACTGCTCTCATCTGCCAACATGCTCTGCAAGGTATATAGATGCTTCCCTGGCCACCGTACTCTCTTGACCTGTCACCAATCGAACATGTGTGGGATGTGATTGGAAGCCGTTCGCAGACTCTGCCCCTGCCTCGTTCAAAAGAACTGTGGCAACTGGTTGAAAGAGAATGAAGAGCCATCCCTCAAGACACCATCCGCACTCTTATTGACACTATGACTAGACGTGTTTCTTCGTGCATCGCTTTCCGCGGTGGTCCTACATCCTACTGAGCCGACGCTGTTCTCGCTCTGTATTCTGACTATCATTTTGAAATAGAGATCACTTATTTCTGCTTGCTGTCTCTGTCTTTTTTCCAAATTTCATCACTTTTTGACAACTCCTTCTTGGTGTTGCATTTTCAATGTCGAGCAGTGTATTTGCTAACTAACACACATGAACAAAATCTATCGAATATTTTAAGGTATGCAAAAAGGTACTCTTAATAATCTAAGAAATTAATTTTTTGGGTTATAGCAGTGCACACTTGACCCACCTGCCTGATTGAAAGGATGTCTTCGTGTAGAAACTTCTATCGAAAATTGGTATTCATGTTATACTTCACGGAGATTTTCTAACAGAACTTTTTTTTTTCTTACTTAACATGTGGAAAAACTACGCAAACTATGTCATGTCTTGCTGCCAACATTCAGGCTAGCTTCTGTAGTGCGTAAGAGACCGAGGATAAGAATAATAGGAATGGCAGTCTCAAAATCGGCATGTTTAAATTTTTTTAGCCAGCTCCCGATGCCACAGCCAACACTAGGCCCACATTGCTTTTGCTGTTGGTAATATAAACTATCTTCTTATACTTGATGCGATACTGAGGCTTGCAACATTTCCAGACTTATCTCTCATCGAGTAAGTCTAGGAATGAATGGTCGGTTATTTCAGAAGGAAAAATCTAGCACTCATTCTTTGTGTGCTCAAACATTTGCAGCGTGACAAAATATTTCTCAGCGATTAATGCCATAACTGATAACATGCCAAGGCTATTTCCGCACATGATGCCCATTTTTCATACTGAATAAATCAAGATTAACTCAATGTTTGTTTCCAGGTTTTAGCCATTTAAGTATGATTAACCAGTCTATCGATCCTATGGATTTCATATTTCTACAGTCTTCGCTTCTGTAGTGCTGCGATTTCAGTGCTGAAAGTATTATTTGAACAGAAATTATTTGGCCTTTTACCATAAATCAAATATTCGAGAGTTTCCTCTCTGTATGCACATAAAATATTTATAAAAGTTTTCTTTTATATGATTTGTAATTATTAAAAGTTCTGTCGTTTGGGGGCAACATTTTTCGCTACTGAGAAATTTCATCTTTTATACAAACAGTTTATCGATATTAAGTTCTATGTTATTTCTTAACTGTATCAAAGTCTTTTATCAAAGTGATATGTGTAACTATAACTGCATTCATCTCAGTTTTGTGATCATTGCTTAGGAAATGATAAACTGTTTAACCAAGAAAATAATGTTTAAGACAGCACATACTACGCGAAGTACTGCAGAAATAAAAGTAAAATACATAAAACTAACAAACTGCGTTTGAAAGCAGTTTCGAAGAGATGTTAATCTTGATCTCCTCTCTGGAAAAACTATAAATTTTAACGTGTAGCGCAGTGTTTCTCAACCTTTTAGTATTCACGGCCTAATTTTCAATCATAATTTTCATAGCGCCCCCTCTCCCCACCGCATACAATAAAATGTATACAATAATAATGTTTGAGTATTTTGGCGATAAACCTACACTACAACCTTAATTTTAAACTTTACAAATTACCAAGAATACGGAAATTTATTGACATTTTGCAACACCGATCCTCAGCATTGAAAAAAACAAGAATCCTATGCCTTTTTATCAATCCGTGTCAAAAATGGGGGTTTTGTTTCGGTTCTTTCTTTCCCGAAGTGGCAGTTTTCCTTAAAGGGACAATTCAAGCTGTGAAGATCGTTATGTGTTAGTAATAAAAGTCTTCAAGCTATAATCAACGAAATTTATCAACATAACACCGAATGGAAAGAACGTACCATTAGTAAGAATTTTCTCACACTTGCATGCTATGGAATGGCAAACAAAGGGTGTAAAAGAGTTCATTGTGCTTTTACCCTGAGGTATAGATGTTTTAACGCATTGCTATTTGTTTTTCAAAGATGTTTTGTTTGATTTATCCAGATGTTTTGTTTGATTTATCCAGATGTCAACATAAGGATTCTTGGATAGGTTTCTCATAAGTAATGAAAAGTGAAAGTTCTGAAACATTCTTAAACATAGCGAAGTTTGAAAAAAAGTCAACAAAATATCATATTCACGAGGCAAAGGTTTTATTGAAAATTTAAACAGATCGAAGAGATGTTAATCTTGATCTCCTCTCTGGAAAAACTATAAATTTTAACGTGTAGCGCAGTGTTTCTCAACCTTTTAGTATTCACGGCCTAATTTTCAATCATAATTTTCATAGCGCCCCCTCTCCCCACCGCATACAATAAAATGTATACAATAATAATGTTTGAGTATTTTGGCGATAAACCTACACTACAACCTTAATTTTAAACTTTACAAATTACCAAGAATACGGAAATTTATTGACATTTTGCAACACCGATCCTCAGCATTGAAAAAACAAGAATCCTATGCCTTTTTATTGCTCTTGCGTCAAACCATGTCGGGCATCTTACGGTTTCGCGAGAAGTTTCGATTTGTCTGGTCAGCTTAAAAGTTAAGTTAGGAGCGTGCGCAGATGTGAACAAATGTTTTCTCATGGGGAGAAGGAGAAAGTTCTATGATGCCAATTTCAATTCCAGACAATCTCATTCGAGTCGATCCTTCTATCGCTATTGAATCTATTCTGAATGTGTATGTTATATATATTTTCGTGTAATTGCAATTCACCGTATTAAATATTCACGGCAGCAGACTTATGCAGAATCATGGATAAATTTTTAAGCGGGCGTAAGCGAGCATTAGACGATAGACAAGCATCAACAAGTACATAGACGAGCGTGGTTCCGAAAATAAAATCAAGAAAATGTTCTCAAGAATACTTAAATTTTGGGTTCACTAGTACTGAAGTAAATGAAGAAGAAAGGCCCCTGTGTATCATTTGCTCAAAAATATTGGCAGCAGACAGCATGAAACCTAATAAACTTAAACGACATTTGGAAACGCTTCATAGTGAGTACGTAAACAAACCCAGAGAATTCTTTGAATTAAAATTAAAATCATATGAAAAGCTAAAATCATTGTTTAAAAAAAACTTTGTCTGTGAATGAAAAAGCTTTAATTGCCTCTTACAAAGTTTCATAAAATATCCAGATGTAAAAAGCCTCACACCATTGGTGAAGAGCTTATTTTGCCAGCCGCAATTGAGATTGTAGAAATTATGTTTGGAGATAATTTTGCAAAACAATTGCAGCCTATACCTCTTTCAAATGATACTGTTGCCCGTCGAATTGCTGATATAGCTGAAGATGCAGAGTGTCAGCTTTTGTCGAAGTTACGTGACAAATTGTTTTCAATACAACTCGATGAGGCAACAGATAGTAATAAAGATGCTCATTTCATTGCCTATGTTAGATTTTGTGATGATTTGTCAGTAGTAGAAAAATTACTTTTCTGCAAACCAATAGAACTCAAAGCAACAGCACTCGCATATCTTAAATGATTTTATGAACGAGGCAAACATAGAATGAAAAAATTGCGTCGGAATATGCCCCGATGGTGCTGGTTCTATGTCCGGAAGATTTCCAAAGTATTCAAGCACTTGTGAAACCAAAATCACCACAGTGCGTCTGGACACATTGCATGATCCACAGAGAAGCTTTGGCTTCCACAGAAATGAGTCCTGGTTTGAATATTGTGTTAACTACGGTTGTAGCCATAGTAAATTATATAAAAATGAGACCTCTGAAATCAAGAATCTTTCCCGCACTTTGTAAAGACATGGGTGCAGTACATTCAGCGTTACTATTTTATTGCGAGGCAAGATGGTTATCACGAGGGAAATTTTTGCAACGTGTTTATGAATTAAGAGAAGAAATCGCCTTTTTCCCAGAAGAGGAAAACAGACCGGAAGCTGAGAATTTTCGCGATAGTTTATTTGTGATGAAATTGAGCTACATGGTCGACATATTCGAGAAATTAAATAACTTGAATCTTGAACTGCAAGGAGCAAATACACATATATTGGATACGAGTGATAAAGTTAATGCTTTTTGTAGGAAATTGGAATTGTGGAACAGAAATTTAAAGCAAGAAAACTTAACAATATTTGCAAATTTGAATGATTGTATTAAAACTTACAAGGCTGAAGATCAACAAAGTTGTTTTTGTAACCATTGAAATTCATTTAGCAATGCTAGCAAAGACTTTTAAAAAGTACTTTCTTGCTGACCAAAAAACTGATATCAAGTTACAAGTGGGTGAGGGATCCATTTCAAAATACTCCCGAAGGACTCTCAATTGAAGAGGAAGAAACCTTCATAGACTTCAAGGCAAGCGCGAAACCAAAAAACAATTTAGTAATAAATCACTCTTTGAATTTTGGGCAGGAGTGGATGATGAGCTTTCTGCACTAAAAACAAGGGCATTTCGCATTCTACAACCATTTTCAACATCCTTCCTTTGTGAAACTGGATTTTCTGCGGTAGCTTCTTTGAAGACAAAATATAGATTTCAGCTAAATATAGAAAAAGAACTGAGAGTGTCTATTTCTAATATTAAACCCTCCTTCGAAAAACTTTGCTCTGCAAGACAGGCCCAAGGAAGTCACTAATAATTATTAATTTTGTTTTTAATTTAATAAGTTAATTATTAAATATGTCGAAATGTATTTTGTTTTGTATGTGTGTGTGTGTTCTTTCCTTTCAGTCAGTTAATCAATTTTTTTAAATAACATTTTCTCTTGGATATGCTCGCCCCCCCCATTAGTGTGCTCTCGCCCCCCTAGGGGGACGCGCCCCACAGGTTGAGAATCACTGGTGTAGCGTGCTTTTTGCATTAGACTCTGTAAAAAATTGCAATTGCCCTGCCTGTAATTGTGAACAGAAAAAGAATTGTACACGTGACTAAAACAATCGGGAAGAAACTTCTACTTTTAGTCCAAATGCAACCCATCTAATTAATACTCTTTTCGATTTAAACAATATGTTCTTGTTGATAAACTAATTAAAAAATTTATACGTACAGCAAGCATGCTATCAAACGTGTATACGCAATACCATTTCGTTTATAAGAATTCTAAGTTTTTTAAAAGTAGCGTTTTACCATTTGGGAAAATGATACTGACAATATCGAGTATTTAATTTACTGAATAACATTAAGTGCTACGCTTGTGATGTAACTTCAGAACTTACGAAAATAGAACTTTTGGAATGCCATTAATAATTTCATGAAAATTTAACAGCTTTATTCTTTTTGCAGTTTTTGCAGTTTTTAAAGTATATTTTAACTGTATGGTATAGAGGACATTTTATTGTCTCATTGGTATAAAGAGCAGAAAACAAAATTATTGCAAACGTATTCATAAATTTGGATTTGTTTTTCGAATAATATTTTGTTGCTTAATATTACGCCTTCAACATGAAACTAGGTGGAAGCCTAAAATATTTTTCTACGGTTCGCGGCATCAGAAAAATGATAGGAAATCCAGAGATACTCTCTTCTACTATGCCATTGATCAAAACTGGAAAGATATTAGGCATACCCATAGTGTCACCTCTAAAGCTCTTGAAATGTACGTACAACAAGCAATAGCTGCATTAATATCCTGCCCCTGAGTTTCAAGGTATTGTTCCTTCGAGCAGGGCTGTCTACAGAGCAAGTGTTTAATGTTTTGAGAAAAGGACTGAAACTTTTTATTTAACCTCTTTAATATTTCTTTTCCAGGATTAACCTGAAAATTAGATTTAGAATTAATAAAGTATTTAAATCAGATATTCATTATTAATGTTTCCCTTATTTCATACACAGTTTGAGTGGGGAAAGTACCGGGGAAATCAGTTTCTCTTATGTTCAAGAGAAAAATCCAAGCCTAGCCATCGCTTGGCAAGATACTGATATGCTCAATAACCAGGTAAATTTGATATTTCTATTTTAAAAATATTTGTTTATGTTCATTAAATATGGCAAATTTATTCCAATAAAAATTGCTATAAATTTTCATATTGTTGCTTGCGTACGGGTTCGTAATAGATTGAATGCACAAGTTCGATAGAAAGTTAACAAAATTTATTCTTATTACAAGAAATATAACAAAACGCTGGATTTTTCCTCAAAGATATTTGTACAATATCACACAGTAGTTATATTTTAAACTTCTAAAACGTTAAGTAGAACGCAATTCAAGAGTATAGAAAGCTTATCCGATCTCAAAATTACAGCAGCTATTTAAACAACAACTGCACTGAGATGCTTCTCTCCGGCTTTTTAAAGCTTCTTAATAGGGCGCGAGAAAGTTCTGATAATTTCTGTTTTCTCGAGATTTCTCTAAATAAATACGAAAAATCCCTTAATACGAAACTGCACTTAATGTGCTAAAAGAAAGCTTGATTTAAACTTTAAAGTGTGGCTGGAGAGCCTAACTTTAAACACATTCATTCTGTATTTTCTTTCGAATCATTCATTTATACAAGATTTTTGCACTTGCATTTTGACCAAAGCTTACGTTTATACCATTTTAACTTTTAAAGTACTTTTACAGCTGACACTTAGAAACTTTTACGTTCAATACCTTTTTCCACTTTTAACATTTAACATTTTTAAATTCATTTTACATCATCAGTTACAGTTGCTATACAAAATTTGCAATCTTTTCCTAAAATCTTAATTTTATGTTAACAATTTTCACTATCAAGTCTTTCCGACTGAAAGATATTCACAAACTAGTTTCTCGCAACTTGCGGATTCTCGAATATACATTTACAAACTAATTTCTTGCCAACTTGCGAATTCAAAAAAATTTACTGCTTAAAAGATAATTACAAACTAAATTCTTATAAACTTGCGAATTCAAACTTCTTACTTTAAACAGCATTAGAAACCTTAAACAACATGACACAAATTGAACTTTTAACGCAAAATAAGCAAGCAAAGAATGATTTCACTTTTTTTTTTTTTTTTTTTTTTTTGTTGTTGTTTGTTGTTTCTAAACTCCTTCATTCTGAGACGATAAAACTGCTCAAAAGTAGATATCGTAGAACTTGAAGTTTCATCTTTCTCCTTGGATGGCTAGTACCTTCTATCAGAATCTCCTCCTTTCTTCCCTGTGTTTATGAAACGCGCTGATTTCCTGATCGGTTTAGGGTTCTGGAACTCCAGTCTCCTCTTTACCTCCTGAGGGCCACTTCTTTGCTGAGGGTCTTCAAACCGCTTCTTGGATTTTCTGGCTTTCTGGGACGGTACAGCTACCGCGCGTGGAGTTCTTGGCACGCTTCCAGGATCCTGCATTCAGGGTCCGTTTTTAATTCCGAAATTATTGTTTCACGGATTCAATTACTTTAGAAGATAGCATTGCACATCTAATTATATTTCCTTCTTCGTCAATCTTAATTCTTGATACGGCATCCGCAACTACGTTTTCCTTCCCCGGTGTATGTTTTATAATAAAATTCAACTCTTGCAGTTTTAACCTCAAACATATAAGCTGGGGAGAAAGATTTTTCCGCGAATACAAGCGACCAACTACCGCATGGTCTGAGTATACTGTTATCGGAGCGCTAAACGCGGAATTTTTGCACCGCTAGTAAAACAGCGAGAGTTTCTCTTTCAGTTGCGGTGTAATTCCTCTGAGTTTGATTTAAAGTTTTGCTTAAAAAGGCTATTAGCTGCCCATTTTGGGAAAGAACTGCGCTAATTGCGAAATCCGATTCGTCTGCTGCAATTTCTAAATTTTGGTCTCCTTCCGGGAATTTAAAAACAGGTGCGTTAATTAGAGTCTGCTTTAATTCTTCAAACGCAATGTTCATCTCAGCAGTCCACGTGAATCTAATTTCTTTGCGTTTAAGAACTTGCAAGGGTTCAAATAACTTCGCAAAGTTTTTGATAAATACTCTACAATAGGAACACATGCCTAAAAAGGAAAAAAATTCCTTGGCGGTGTTTGGAGGTGGATAACTCTTAATCGCTAATATTTTGAAATTATCTCTCTCGACATCTTTTTCGAGATTTTGTAACAAAGATACCTAAGTTCCTTGGCAGCAAACTTGCACTTCTTCAGATTTACCTTGAGGTCGGCTTCATTTAATAATGTAAAAACTTCCTCAAAATGTTTAATGTGTTCATCTACAGTTTTGCTTTTCTCGCCACTGATACAGGCTTCCGACCTAAGGTAATTGCGAAAATTGCCAAACGGAATTAGTGCCTGGTCAGTAGAAGTATTCAACCTCTCCATCAGCGTGCCCCACGTGCCAACGGCATTTAAATTCAAAATTCAAGAGATACAGAATCATAGCAATTTGAGGTATACATAATCATCTGTGCCAGTCGCTACGAATACATTCATTAATTGTATACATTAGATATAATAGCATAATAATAGACATAATGTATCCACACAAGATTCACATCAACTTCAACCATCTTTGCAAAGAGTATATAATGTGAAGAAATGAAAGGCAGGTGGGATCTCTTTAAAATAATAACAAGATGATATAATATTTTAAGTACAGGAAAGTGACTATAGAGGATCCGAAGAGGATCAGAAGATACAATAGAGGATCAGATCATTTTTTTTCGTTATGCTATTCAACTATAATGTCATCTCGGTATATTACTGTACTTTTTCCTAAGACTGGCCTTAAAACAATGTCCATTACTTTTTGCAATGCAGCCGGAGCTCCGCTTAAGCCAAACGGCATTCTCAAAAGCATATACGTCTGACTTTGTGATAAAAGCTGTTTCCTCGATATCCTCGGGTTTTACTGCAATCTGAAAATAGCCTGAGGTTAGGTCTAGTGTAGTGATATACTTAGCAGAACGAATAATTTCTCATAATTTCATCAATTATCGGGAGGGCATACCTTAGGTATTTGGTTATGCTATTCAACTTGCGGTAATCAACTGCGAACCTCTATGTTCGGATCTGAGAGTGGTAGTCCGTTTGTCTTTCTACACAAAACTACCGGACTTGCGTGGGGCTGGTTCTTGGCACTATAATTTTACTGTCGAGCATTTGCTTAATATGCTGTTCCAGAATGTCTTCCTTCATGCGGTCATACCCGTATGGCTTAGACCGGACTGGAGGGGCACTACCATTGTCAATACTGTGCTGAACCACTTAACAGAAACCGTGTTTCTCCTCAAATAATTTTAAAAAAATCTTACCAGTCTTTCCACTTTGTTTCTGTCTTCTTCGAGATGGTTGATATCCACGTCCGGCGTCGCTATCTCTTCTTCTACAATGGTGTACATGTGTAAAGCAGAGTTCTGAAAATTTAGTTTTGTGCTAACTGCGTGTAAAAACTCGACCCCCAAAATAACAGAAGTCAACAAATTCTTTACTACCAAAACATTAACTTTCTGGACATAGTTCTTTATTTGAACGTGCAGCCCCACTTTTCCCATGCAGGGAAATATCTTTGGGCGGCAATTACCTTTTGTCCCGTTGTTTTAAACAATCTATAGCGACGAAAATGTTTTTTAAAGAACCCTTGCGAAAGGAAACTGCACTGAGCTCCGATTTCGAGTAGGGAGGTTATAGGAATATCGTTTAGTGAAATATGGATCTCCGGTAAGGCCAAATTTTGCAAGACTACCATATTCAACTTAATATCCGAGGGATGTTTCTTTCCACAAGGTGGCTGAGCCCTGTTGTCAGCCACCGCGATCAGTTTAAATTCTTCTTTTCCGCCTCTTGGTTCTGCTGCTTTTTAATTTGATTTTTAAATGCCTAAGACTGACACGTCAGCTGATTTTGCAACTTTCCACGCTTGACGATACGAACTCTTGAGATTTCTTTTGAGGAGAAAACCTTGAATACTGGTTAAAGTTGCCTGCACGCGCGTTTTCAGCGGTTTGTCTGCTCTGAAATTGTACTGCTGATTGGAATAAATTCTCTAATGTTTGTGGGTTTTTGACTTAAAAAAAATCCTGGATTGACGGGATTCGGGGCTCTTCCCATATAGTAGATTAAATATCTAGATCTTCCTCAAGATGAATTCCGTCAACTCGTCGACATTGATTTGATATTTACTAAACCATTCTGCCTCAAACTTCGCTCGGTCTTTAACAACTGGGAATGCTGGCGCTGTTTTCCGACATATATGTTTCCGAACCTGGATCCCCAACAGGAACTTGCCAATTCCTTTGAACTAACCGAGAGCTTGAACTTTTAGGTTCGTTTCAGCGGTAGTAATTTTCTGCAGCTGATTCACCTGATATAACGTGAAATGCAATTCCAGCTGCTCCAGAAAAGTCATCACGGAGCCTTTGCCGCTGAATATTGCGGCAAAGGCTTCATGGTTGCTCTCATTGTTTCCATGATGAATCCAAATCCCTCCATCGGATTTGCTGGAGACTGAGGGACTTGAAAGGTCGAAGGGGGTAAACGTAAATTTTCCGTTTTCTAACAGCATGGTTCGTGAGAAATGCTTCGGGTGCCAAATGTGGGGCTCCATCCTTCTTCTAGCAGCTAATTGTGTAGGAACCTCGTGAAAAGCTAAGCGAATAATTGCTTTAGTTCAGAAACAGAGACGTAAAATCAAGAAGGGTTAATTACACTTTATTTCTCAAAATAAGAATTAAACAGTCGGCTCCTTTCTCGGGGCGTACAGCAAAGCCTCCACTTGGTCTTGAACTCAAAATAATAAGAAATGAGACTTAACTAATTCTTAACTGAAAAAGATATAGCCGATGCTATCAAAATTCTATGTAGTTGGCCCCTAAATATCGAATAAGCTAAGCTATCAGTGGCCTGAAATATGGCAGGGCGTGGTAATAGCTCAGAGAGAGACGTAGCCAAAAGGCGAACGCGCACTAGTCAGACACTCTGAGGCTCTCTCCGAAGTCAGTGGAACTTCGACTTAAATACCACTTTTGCTCATTTCCATTAAACGCGATTCTAAAAACACGTTCTGATAGGAAATTGTATGCTAAAATTAGGAAGAATAGAAAGTAGCTTTAACTAAAATTAACTGTTAGAAACTTAGGATAAACCTTACAAGCTGATCAAATGCAAAATCCATAACAATAACTTTCTGTTACAAAGACGAAAGATAGACAGCTAATTTTTTGCTTTGTTTACTTAGCAAATTTTACCTTCTGAAGATGAATACGCCCTTTATTTTCTAAGACTGGCTCTTAAGATGTCACAGCAAGAATCATGTTATATTTAATGTTTGCTCGCATTTTGTGGATTCGGCATTATTGAAATAAAAAATGAAATAAGCTTTTCTTTTTCAATAATACTAAATTTCATCTCTTGAACAGGATTAGTTTATTTTCCAATAGAGGATCAGAAGTTGCAACAAAATTTTAAAATCAGTATTTTTCCTAGGAAAGCAAAAGTTTTGTACAGGTTAACACAATAGACAATAGCAAGATGCTAATAATTATTTGGACAAAACAAAATGACTGTGGTCAAGGTTCCTTTTTTTTATCTTTTTGTTTGTTGCTAACTGGGGTTCATTATTCCTAATGCTCTAACAGAAATCAGCTAACATCTCTACATCAAAGTTTTCTTAATCATTGCAGTTTCTCTATTAATGTGTTATTCATGCTTATTGCTGACATTACCACAATTATCCATAAAGAAATTCAAATGAGAATGGATAACGTGTAGTTTCAGTATAAAATGATATCCGTCTTTTTATGTAAAATCACGTGTATTCTCCTCAATTTTTTCGTAATTCTTCTATCTGTTCCTTATAAAATTCTGATATATTTGTTGAACTGCATTCTATGCTCTTTGTTCATCATGATTAAGTTTATGTTCGATTGTGTGTGTGTGTGTGTGTGTGATTATGGCAAAGCCTCGAGGGCTATCTGCCTAAGAGGAGGGATGCCTTCGTGGAGGACTTTCTAAGGGAAACTGGCTCGTATACACGTTACACATGGGGGAAAACCACGAAAACGCCCATGCAGCCAGCCCGTTCGCGGGATTCGAACCTCAGACCGAACTACCAGTGTTCAGCGATTTTACCGCTCGGCCGCTGGTGGGCTTATGCTCGATTGAGTAACAAATCACGTATCTGAGTTTGTAGAAATATACCTAGGTGTGAAAGTCTACTGCAAAAGTATGAAGGTGATATTTTTCGCTAGTGTCTTAATAAAGTTCATTATCAATCACAATATGATTTAAAGTAAGGAAGCTATATCCTCTTTGGATCTACACTTTTTATGTCAAGTGCGAATTAAACTATTGCTTTTAGCTCATTTCCGTAAATGCTGCTATTGCATTGACATCCAGACGCTCAAAAGTATTTCCGCACAAAGTCAGATTGTGACAGATGAACACTTAAATCCTCTTCATTTACACCGAAATGAAAGACAACTGAACTTTTAATGTTGTTTTCATATTCAATACTCCAAATTAATAAAGACTGCGCATTTTTATTAGTGCAGCAAAATGTGTATAGAACAATGCTATCCAAACCGTGGGTAGAATACTGACACTATTTATGGTTAATCAACATTTTGAAGTACGATATTTATATATTTGTAATATGTATATTGACATGAGTTTATGTCTGACAGAGAAAATATTTAAAATATTTTATATAAATTTTAAACAAATTCATTTTTAGGAAAACAATAGTTCACCTCATTTCTGTTCTTCTTCATCAACTTTCCAAGTCCAAAAATGGTATATACAGATCGCAGTGTCTTTCTCACATTAGGAAGCGATGTGGATATATGACTCTTCTCATTCAATTTAAGCTTAGGGAGGAGGGTCCATTAATAGCATGATATACTTGAAACAGATTTCATAATTTGATTATTCTAAATGATTTTAAAAGTCTATTTGATCTTTTAAAACTTAACTCTGAACTTCTTAAATATTAAATATCAATGGACTTTCGTTACATTTTTATTCAATTTTTAGTTTAAAAAAATTTTAATTTAGTGCCAGCTCTGTGAATTTTCATTTACTTGTTGCACCAATACTCTGCCAGTGTTACTAATAGTACCTATACCGTGCCTTCGTTTTTATTCTTTCATTTTGTATCATCTTAGTCTTATGGATGGCTCCAATGAATGTCATCGTTTTCAGATTTTCCCTAAATAAAACTTGAAACAGATTTATTAGTTTTATTTTTTAAGAATCTAAATACAGTATGTTTCTAAACGAGGAAACGCAAAAATTGCGATGACGAGTCACTAGACAGGCTTAAAAACGAAGTGCAGATATTCATATATTTGCTTCTAGCAGCGTTAGTAAGTTCATATACACCTCCCAAGTTCAGACACGACTCCTGAGCTCCTTCAGATGGCAATGGATGAATTAACGTTTGCTGTATGGATTTCTTTCAACACATCATTACAGAAAATACAGCGTGTGCACAGAGACCGGCATTTTTCAAGCTAAGGTTGCCTTGTCGAAATTTACAGAAAAACTAGCGAATATTAAGAACACCTTTACCCATACGCTTCCTGCGACATTTATTACAGCTTCAGAATTTTACGCTATTGTCTTATTCTACTCTCTTAAAGCATATGTATCTGATGTGCTTTCTGTAACCTCCAATTTCATGAGGAGATATTAAAAAATAAATTAGAACTCGCGTGCTTGCAAATCAGAATGTATCTGAATGAAGCTCTCTTTAATCAGTGGTATTCACAGATCTGCAAAATTCATTTATTTAAACGTATTAAAACACATTTTTAAAAGTCCTAACCGAAAACAACATTTATGTTATATCAATCAGTATCAGAGTAATCAATGTATGTTGTATCAATCAGAGGTATTAAAAATGAAATAAAATGTAGCAATATATACATGTATGATTCTTTAATTTCTCAGTTTTTTTTTTTTTTTTTTTTTTTTTTTTTTTTTTTTTTTTTAGATTTTAGAATTTTAGTTCTTAAGATACTTATAAAATGTTTTATCAAGTGATGCCGCGACCGAAAGCTGATTTTTTGCTGTCCCTTCCCATGCTTGATTTCCAAAGCTTATTTATTGAACAATAATGTATTTTTTGTTGATTGTAATTATTATTCACTAAGTAAGAAAACTTTTAACCGATTAATCAAATTTCACTGCGTACTGAAAGAAAAAGAGGGGAGGTTTACTATTGTAATAGCGTGCATAATAATTTCATCCTATTTCAGTAAATTCCTTCCTATAATAATTAGCTTATTTTGAAGTTTTCTCGTTATTCTTTAATTTATGGAAATCTTCAATTTCAGAAAGCTTTGCAACAAACGACTAGTCAGAAATGATAGATTTTCTTATTCCACATTCGAATGAATTTTACTGTGATGATTAAATACTACTATTTTCAGATTATAGCATTTTAGCTGTAGATTTGCTTTAAGGTGACCAATACAGTTACCTCTATTGAAATCTGATTAAACTAACTTCCTTTCCCGAGATATCGAGATGGAAGGAATAATTGCATACGGACCAAGACTTAGTAGCATTTAACATTAAAAGTTTAATAAGGACATTTTATTAAGGACATTTTATGAATCTCTTTTAAGCATTACAGACAAAAAATATAAAGATAACGCTCTACTTGACGAAACTAAAATTCACGTTTCATGGATAATCCTACCAGGAATAGTCACTACTTTTTATCAAGCTAGTTATAAAATCTTTAGCTTACCAATGTGGACAGGAACTTTTCTTGTCATTACTTACTCCAACATAAAGAATGAATAGCTGCTACTTCCAATGATTCAATTCTTATAATCAGACTCGGCTGCCGTTCTTTAGGTAGATCTCTAATTCAGGCTGAATCAGATATCCAACATAAGACAACTGCACGCTACTTACTGACTGACCAACTAACTGGTTCCAGTAACTGCGTAAATCCCTCTCCTCAAATTCTGCATAATCCTTTGGAACGAAGGAGCTCGTGACTAAGTTCGAAGTGTTAGAATAATATACAAATTGTCACAACATTATGTTTAAAGTTTTCTGCTTGGCGTTAATCCTAATTAATAAATTAATTTTTGGGGGAGTTCAGGCTGCAGTTGAAGTTCTAAAGCTTTCTCAACGATTTATGCTCTGAATTTTATTAAGAGAAGTTTTTCATGATTTGTTTTATTGTGTTATTATCTCAAAATTGAACACATTTTCTAAATATTTGCAGACAGAAGTAGTCAAGAATTCTTTCTGGAGATTTTTGTATGATGTACCGAAAGAAAGCAAAATCGCACTTTACGAGTTCAGTAATGATGTCGAAACTGTAAAGGATTTAGATAACAAAAACCTTTGGCCTTATTTTCATATTACGTTTACCTCTCGCAAGGAACCTTGTGTTACTTGCGCATTATCTAAGGCTGTCAATGTAAGTAAAAACATTTTCTAAGAATTTATATTATGAAGTTGCTTAATTTAATGCAATACTAGTTATAAAATCTTTAGCTTACCAATGTGGACAGGAACTTTTCTTGTCATTACTTACTCCAACATAAAAAATGAATAGCTGCTACTTCCAATGATTCAATTCTTATAATCAGACTCGGCTGCCGTTCTTTAGGTAGATCTCCAATTCAGGTGAGATTCAGGTTCTTGTTCCATTCAAACACGGTATTGCAAATTCGTGTGAAATTTTCCACTCTTGTTTAAAGACGTTACCCAGTTTATTGATATCACTATATGTTTAAACGAATGAAAACATGTTGTAGTTTTCAAGTAAATTTATTGCCTTTCTTTTTATCTGAGTACTCATTTAAATGAAATTTAAACTAAAAAATATATTAAATAAAAAGAAATTGTAAATGAATGTTTAAATAAACTTATTCTGTTAAACGTACACTGAAGTGACAAAAGTCATGGGATACCTACTAATATTTTGTCGGTCCTCCTTTTGCCCGGCGAAGTGCAGCAACTCGACGTGGCATGGACTCAACAAGTCGTTGGAAGTACCCTGCAGGAATATTGAGCCATGCTGCCTCTATAGACGTCCATAATTGTGAAAGTGTTGACGGTGCAGGGTTTTGGGCACGAACCTCTCGATGATGTCCCATAAATATTCGATGGGATTCATGTCGGGCGATCTAGGTGGCCAGATCATTCGCTGGAATTGTCCAGAATGTTCTTTTAACCAATTGCGAACAATTGTGGCCCGGTGACATGGCGCATTGTCATCCATAAAAGTCCCATCGTTGTTTGAGTACGTGAAATTCATGAATGGCTGTAAGTGATCTCCAAGTAGCTGAAGGTATCCATTTCCAGTCAATGATCGGTTCAGTTGTACCAGAGGACCGAGTCCATGCCATGTAAAAACAGCCCCAGACCATTTGAACCACCCCAGCTTGAACAGTGCCTTGTTGACAACTTGGTCCATGGCTTCGTGGGGTCTGCGCCACACTCGAACCCTACCATTAGCTCTTACCAACTGAAATCGTGACTCATCTGACCAAGCCACGGTTTTCCATTCGTTTAGGGACCAACCGATATGCTCTCGAGCGCACGAGAGTCGTTGCAGGCGTGCTGTCAGTAAAGGCACTCGAGTCGGTCTTCTGCTGGCATAGCCCAAGGAAGACAAATTTCGCCGCACTGTCCTATCGGACACGTCCCTCTTACGTCCCACATTGATTTCTGCGGTTATTTGACGCAGTGTTGCTTGTCTGTGAACATTGACAACTCTACGCAGACGTCGTTGGTCTCGGTCGTTAAGTGCAGGTGGTCGGCCACTGCGCTGTCCATGGTGGGATGTTATGCCTGAAATTAGATACTCTTGGCACACTCTTGACACTGTGCATCTCGGAATGTTGAATTCCCTAACGATATCCGAAATGAAATGACCCATGCGTCTAGCTCCAACTACCATTCCGCGTTCAAAGTCTGTTGATTCTCATCGTGCGGCCATAATCACGTCAAAGCCTCTTCACATGAATAACTTGAACACAAATGAAAGCCCTGCCAAAGCACTTCGCATTTATACATTTTCTACGCGATACTACTGGCATCTGTATATTTGCATATTGCTATCCCATGACTTTTGTCACTTCAGTGTATATAAGCTTTACGTATTCTCATCATACTTTTGTTCTGTTATGATTTCAAAAAAAGAAATATATTTGAATGGTTCGGAATCGTAGCTTTTGAAAGATTGAGACAGAATGGTTCACGTATCACCACATCTATTTCAATTTAAGATTTCGAACAAGATTCCAAGCAAGCATTCGAAAAGACAATCGTGATGCTTATAATCTCTTTTGACTCATCACCCATTCTAAGTTCCACCAGTTCTAAATCAGATTAGCTTTGCCCCTAATTTTATGAGATGAAACTACCCAGGCAGCACGTCTCCAAAAATATACGTATAATTTTGGTGAAATAAGGGTATGGTATTTTTTGCACGTTACTTTTACGAAATTTATACGAATGAAAAAGGCTGAAGTTACTGTTGACTCTTGATCGTTATTTTCCACACGTTATTTTTACGAAAATTATACGAATCCGAATGTACTGATAAAACTACCGCCATGATGGTATTTATTTTCGTCACTTTTACGGATATTATACGAAGTCTAAAAAGATTGAAAATGAAGTTTATTAATTCAAAATATTTAGTGTATTTCTGGCATTTTCACTTTGTTTTCCTTGTCCACGAACATGAAAAAAGGGGCATTCATATATGAGGCTAAAATTTTTCTATAAATTTTAACATGTGAGCTAAATCTTTACGTGCATTTTTGCAAAAAAATTATATTTTCTTAATTCAAACATCTTCAAAATAACTTATTTATTTTCTTATATCAAATTTGTTATTTTTATTCATATCAACACTTACATTAATTTACACAATTTAATTTCTTTTATGAAAATCCTATTACCCATTTAACTGGAATAAGCTGTATATTAAATTTGTGTACTTACTGAGTTTGGTACAATACTCTCCTTATTTTATTTAGCAAATGTGGGCAATTAAATTGGAATAAGACTAGCAAATCTTTCATGTCGAGGAATAGAATAATAAATACAGCAGAAGATGCTCGAAAACGTTTAACTTCTTGAACAATAGTTTAATGTAGACCAAAGGATCATTAATTATAATCAAAGATATACTAATATTTTTATTTAATAATAATAATAATAACTCTACGAAATTGCAAGCTGAATCCTGATATTTTACATATATTTCAGTTCCTTTAATCTTTGTTATAAAAATCATATGAGGCTAATTTTTTTAAAATTTTGTTTAATGTACGGAAAAAATGATATAGCGATTTTAATAATTTTTATATGAGGAAAAAATTAATAAATAATGTAAATAAATAATTATATTATATTTTATATTTTTCCTGAAACAGTTAAAGACATTCTTAATATGGAGATCTACAGAATAAGTACAAGGGTCCAGTTAAATGAACTCAAAATTTGCATAGTTAATTTTACGCTAACTTATAAAAATTAACCGGATTTACGATTATACACTGAGCATGCGCATACACAGACATTTCTATTTTTCGTAGAAAAATTTAATTATTACCTTAATACAGAGATGCTGTGAATATAAATTTATATAATGCAAAAGTAAGTTTATTTCATATGCTAATTTAGAGGCTTTCTTAATATGTTTAATTATATTTAAAAAAATGAAAGAAAAAAAAAAAAAAGCGTTGCAATTCTTGTTCACTGACCAATGGCAAAGCAGACACTTTCTACTTCCGGTTGTGGCGGGATATTTGTGAAGTCAGCACTCAGCAATGGCGGTCGAAAAGAATGGTAAAGTCGCAAAGAATACTGTTTGTTCGTGGATTGGCGTTTGTGACTGAATCCATCGAAGTTACTAATTATTTGAAGAAAGTAAGTGAATATTTTATATTTTCAGTGTTTAATACTCGTACTTTCTTCACCTATATAAAATTTTATAAATAGCGTCTGTGTAGGAAATGTGATTTTCCATGTGCCTAATGATTCATTTTCAGGATTTGGTACTGTTAAATTTTGCACTAGTCTGTTTCTTACTGTTTGTGTCACTCCTTTTTGTATGTGTCTCACCTTTTTATAGTTATATTATTTTTACTCAAACGTTTTAATATTTATCTTAAAGCATACTGTAATTAAGCAGGAAATAGCTTTTAATGGAAAAAGAAAGGCAATATTAACATGACTAATTGTTCAGAAATCTGTTATGGAAATGTTATCTACCTTATGCCAAAAAATAAAGCATGTAACTTTCATTTATTTATGAAATTCAAAATTTTTTATTTGCTTAGTGTTTTCCCTAAAAATAATTTAATTTCTTATTTTTGAATTTAGTTTTATAAATTTGCTTTAATATATAATCTTTAACTCAAAGATATTGTGCTATTAAAAAAGGAAATTTTATGCCATAGAAACACAGGTACTTTGTTCCAAATCTGTGTTCATTTTTTTTATATATATACTGAATTTTTATGCACTTGTAATTACTGAAATATATCCTTTCATGAATAAGTAATAAGTCCTTTCATGAATGCATTTCTTTTTTGTTTGTTTGATTTTGTTGTTTTAAAAGATCTGCCATAGTTAAAGAAAGAAAATAAAGTAAGAATGCTTTACTTTCAGTTTTTTTGAATAAATTTATTACTATTTACTGCAGCTTCAAGTTTCTCTAAACATAATTTTCGAAGTCAAAACTTGATAGTTATGTTGATTATTAGACTTGCATGAAAAAATTAGTATTTGATCTAAAATACCTTAAATTATTTGAATTATATTTTACTAAATCATGTATTTTGATATAACTAGATAGTTAAAAAAATTAAAATTGTAAATGTGCAGAAATGCTTATATAAAACCAAGAAATTGTTTATATTTTTGTTGCTTTTTCCCTTGTAAATTAATTATATATATATATTACAGTCTGGGGAGTCAGCACCCTGCTGAATTGTAGTAAACGAGACGTCCAATCTACTAGACCATCAAAGATGCAGATTTGGATTTTCTATTTCATAGTTATTGAAATCATAATGGTATGTTTGTTTAAATTAGTACTGTTTATGAATGTGATAAAAATAAATTCTGATAAGCTAAGAAATGATTTATTTTCTATTAATTATGAACTGTAAATAATGTAACCAATTTTCTTCATAGTATTTACTAAAAAATTTTTTTTTTTTTAAAAAAGGGAGGTAGTCTTATTTATACAATTCTTGCAGAGATACCAAGAAATAAAACATTTCAGGAATTTTCACTCAGTATATCTTGATGTGTAAAATCATGTGTTGTTCAATGCCATATTACTTTTTCACAGGAAAGTAATTTTATTGATCTAACATCTGCATAAATCAAACTTTTTTAAGAATGATTACAGTTTCTAAGCTAACTTAAAATTTTCAGATTTAGAAAATGTATGTTTAATGTAGCATTAGTTTTCCATGGAATAGAAAAGGTTTTCAAAATGTTCAGTTGTTAGAGGGAAATAATATAAATGAGATTGTCCTGATACAGTTTCAGCTGGAAATGAAACTGAATTTTCGGATAGTGAAGATTTCATTTAAGAATTCTAATAAAACTGATTAATGTAAATCCTCTGCATTTAAGAATTCTAATAAAACTGATTAATGTAAATCCTATGATTCATGTAGGTATTCTTCTGTTATCAGGACCAGATTCAGAAATGTGTGTTTATATGCATGCATTTTTAAATGTAGGTGCTCGTGTGTGCATGTGTATATTCTTTATGTATGTATGTGTATACTTATACACATATATGCGCATACATGCATATACACATGCTTACATATCTACAGTGGAACCCCGAGATACGAGTTTAATTCGTTCCAGCATTCAACTGGTATAGCGAATTTCTCGTATCTAGAAACAAGCTTCCCCATTGAAAATAATGGAAATTCAGTTAACCCGTTCCCACCCCCAAAAAATATCAACATTTTAATATCAAGTCAATTTTTCCTAATAAATAACACTGGTAAATAATATAACCAATAGTTTAACTTTGTTACCAACATTTTAACTCCTTCTCATTTATCCACACCAACAACAGCTTCTCAACATCTAGGAGTACTTTTATGGTGCTTGGAAGCAACGATAATTCCTTTGGCTACATCAGGTTTCTTAATTTCTTCCTGCTTCTTCAGAATAGTATAGATTTTCGATGTTGAAAGGCCGCAAGTCTTCGCCAATTCCGTCACCATGCTTATGTTTATCTACGATTTCTTTCTTGATATCGACGGCCATGGCCTCCTTATTTTTCTTTGCAGCACTATCTGAGGCAACAATCTTCTTGCGAGGCATCTTGAAATAATTATTTTCACGTTAAATGTCAAAACAATTAACTTACAAGTGCACAAAACACGTATATATAAAAGAACACTGAGTGATCTGACGAGGGGATTCCCGAGTTGAGCCGGATAGGGAAATGGCGCCACCCATACCAACAGCCTGGCTCATTGCTCGTTACTCGAATTAATGCTCGTATTTTGCTCATACTTTCCTCGTATCTCGAGGTTTCATTGTACATTTCTGAATCCCGTCCTAATAACAGAGGAGTACCTTTGCCAGTATTGCAACAGAGCTAGAATGAATTATTGTGTTAAATATGTGGAAAATGCATGCTTAAAGTACTGTTATTTTCTAAAAATATTCTGTATGTCTATTTTTTACAAGAAGAAAAAATAGCTAAAAGCTGTTAATTTACTCGTATTTATTAGTCCAAAGGGGCTTTGTCCCTAAAGAACTATTGTTTTTGTTTTGCATTGGTTCACTATAAATATCTGTTTCACTTTTCAAACTGTTCCTACCAAATGTTAGAGTCCCTAGTGTGGGATTAATACTCTCTATCTTAGTGCCCTCTATAACCTATGTTAGGGTTAACCTGTATAACCTACAAGGATTGCCAGTTTAGGCGAGATATCTAGGTAGTCATCATAATACGTACCTTATTTTTTATTATTTTTAAATTAAATTGAAAGTAATAAACTAGTTTTCAAGAATGGAGTTAAACTAGATTTGCATTCAACTCTGGTTTATTGTGTTAATGATGTTTTGCTGTAACAAATATGAATTTTTTTGTTTAAGTATAATAATTTAAAAATGTTTTTTCTAGAGAATGAAGTACTGCCACTAAGGTAAAGGTGCTAACTTGCAAGGTAATTTTCTATTCTACATTAACTCAATCTTTATGTCCTGTTACAGATATATTGGCAGAAATAATGAAAACCTGACATTCAAAAAGAAAAATAATAATGTTGAATGTAGTATATTAGATGGTTAACTGCGGTTTGGCAGCTCATTAATAATCTTACACATATTGAGTACGAATAACTTTGACAATTACCGGTATTTTCAATAGTATAAAATTAGGCAAGAAAGCAGCTTTAGCTTAGCACCGATTTTAAATACAACTCTCTTACCAATATTGGTTTGACGAAGGTAAAATATAATTGAATTTAATAAGTTGGAAATACTGTCTGTCTTTCCATGAGTTAAAAAATAATTTCAAATAAAATTTCTTTTTTCAGTTTTTCATGTTATTTGTTTAATGTTATTGTAATCTGATTTATCATATTTAGTCACATATTCCATCCCTCTTTGCACTATAGTATATAATTCAAAGGACTTATCAGTTTCAGCAATATTTTTTTTACCAGTATACATTTTTACCATAACTCTGTTTCTAAATCATATCCTGAAAAATTAAGGAGTAAAGTACACAAAGAAGGAAAATATGCAAGTAAATAATGGCATTTAGTGTTGTGTTTATGTGTGTCTAATATTTGTACTAGATTGTAAAAGTTATAAAATTCTATTAGCTTTTTTAAATTATTCTTTTTTAAATTGAGATGCTTCTTTGCACCCAAATGGTTAAAGCCCTAGTGTGACTTTGGTACTTTGATCTAACTTCTATTCCTAATAAATAATCCAGCTGCATACAGTTTACTCAATTTCTGCCATGTGTAAGGTAAACAATATTAGCTTTTTTTAAATATATCTTTTACAACTATTCCATCAGGTAGATTTCTTTCATATTTTGCCTTAATTGAGTCATCCTGCTAATTAAGAATTTATTAAAGTTAATATGTTAAGTTTTTGTGTGTATAATTCATTTTAAGTATGTGCAAGCAAATGCATACATTAACAGTTACGTAGAATTATGTTTTGGGTATCAAATTCAGAAATTTTGGGGCTGTTTTTAGAAGATTTATTAATGATTTATACTATATTAATATTGGTAAAAAAATTCTGTGGCTTTTATATGAGAGTATATATTTTAAAATAGCTGCATGATATGGTAGAGGTAAAAAGCTTCATGTGGATCATAAATTAATATTATGTGGGAATTTTTCATTTATTTAATAAAGAAAATATTCAAGTCAAGCCACAATTAAAATTTTTTTCACTGGATTATTTGCATACAAAGTTTGCAGCAAATATTTCCTGCAACAGAAGTGACAATTTTTATTTTGCCAAGACAGGAAATTTAGTTAGTGAAAGCAGTAACCTCTATTTTGAGATGTTAAACAGGAAGGCAAATTTTTGAATTTAAATTGATTTTTGAAGGAAGACTTCATTTAGTCTTGCTATCATTCTACGTGGCTCTTAACTTTTTTATGGTATTTATAATTTTATTGTTATTCAGCTTTCTGTTTGCTTAGAATGCACATGAATGTAGACTTGAAATATTTTATATTGCAAACTGAGATGCCATTGTTATCATAATTAAAGATTTTTGCTCTGATTTTGGAGGAATTTACTGATAATACTTTTGATTGTGTATTGGTTTCTGGTTTATTGAAATGTGTAAAATAGCCTGTTAATGCATATACGTATGTTAATGACATGTATATGTTTATGAAGTATTCTGTTATATGTATATAGTGTTGTGATTAGTTTTCTGCTTACTCTTTATTTAAGAAAAAGTTATCTGTAAGAAAGCGAATATTCTTTACTATATGTAGGAGTAAAATTGAAAAGGCTAATGCAATATAATTAATACAAAATTAAGTTTTTTTTCTCATGTACTTAAATACAAACATAGCCATTAAAGACTTTCTCAACCTTGCAGTTCTAAAAAAAATCTTAAGTATTTTTTACTTGAAATTATAGGCATTGTGTAAGGTATATAATTGAAGCTTACTGTGTGATAGTATGAAATTAAATTTTTAATTACTGAAATGTAAATTTTTAAATATGAAATACTCAGTGCATTTTATATGCATCTTTTAATACTTCAACTATATTTAAAAACTGAAAACATCTGAAGTGTGAAATTATTACAAATTTTTCTTTTTCTTGTTTAGGAGCTGTTCTCAAAACATTGGGTGACAAAGAATTCACTTTTACAAAAATCGAGCAGGATATTAAAGACAGCGAACTATAGAACAAATATGGCGAAGCTGCATGAAGTCTATGTTGAATTTTATTATTGAAAAAAATATGCTCTTCAGATTTAATGTTAGTTTTTATTGTTTAACAGTAATTGCAGTTTTTCGAATACCTGTAAAATAAACCTAATTCTTAAATTAATTTCATGTGTATTTCTTTTGCAAGTATTACAGTTCATAATACTTCAAACAACTTGAAATTTTATACTTGTTAATTTATGTGGGATATATGTTCATAATAATTTTATAATTTAAATAACTCATTGTCATCATATGAGCATAATCTAAAATGCACAGCATTTGACAACAAATTAATAAAAAATTAGCCAACTTCTAATTGCTTTCTTTTGTCCAGTTGCCTCTTTTAAATCATTTAATACCATAAAGCTATTTGATGAAAAAAAAAAATAATTGGTATGTCCACATCAACATGTACATTTATAATGATGTTATATAGAAAAGTCACATGAGATAAATATTTAAAAAACTTCAATATTCCTAAACAAATTAACTTTTTAAAATTTTATCTGGTATATAAGATAAAATAAAGAACATATTTAGGTAATTTTGAATTTGCATAATTTTATGAACTTATTTATGAAATTAACAGTTACATTGTAAAAGGGAACTTTTTAAAAATACCTCAATAAAGCATTTCTTTTGTAGAGGTGAACTTTTAGTACTGATCTAATATATTTATAAGATTTTAAACTGAGAAAGACAACAATAATAGATTACAATACATTGCAAGATTGACTGATAAATGTAAAATTTTTACATATCATAATTATGTGTGTAATTAAAACAGAAGTTACTCGATTAACTTGCATGCAAATTAATATTTTCTTTAACATGTTTGGGATAAACTGAATTTTAATAAATAAATATGTATAGATTTGTGTATTATCTGAAGATATGAATGAAATATTTGTGACATTAAACATTCATCTTCAAGGAAAATAACAAAGTCAACTTGGTAAACTATTGGAAAAGGTAAGTTTTTTCTACAATTTCCTGGTCTATATTTAACAATTTTAAAATTTAGCACACTCATTCAAATAATCTAAACGTATGATGTTTTTCTTTTGTGCTACATTCGTTTACTGAATTTGTTAATTAACTATATTGTACTTTAGATAGAAATTAACGTAGATATTCCCTGTATTTTACGGTACAAAAACTTATATATTTGATAATAATTGACCTAAATCTTCCCTATGTTTTCTTTGCATATACGAATGACTTTGGTAAAAATTTAGTCCGATGTCTTCTCCTCTTTACTGTGTATAAGTGCACATTTTTGGTAAAAAATTTGCATAAATCTCCAATTACCTATTTACTGCATTTTTCGTAAAATGTGCTTATTTTAATCTCTTATTTTTTATATAAATCTATGCAAAAATGTTCTGCATATTATGATTAAAAGATAAAATTAATTTAATATCAAATTTTTACATATCCACCTTTTAGGTATGTACAGCAATATGGAATATATATAACTGGAAAATTTAAATGCAAAAAAATTAATTTCTATTCAAAAATTACATAACACTAAAAGGCTGAAAATCACTTTTAATATTTCATTTCAAAGTGACTACAAAATATGCAATAAATTTTGTAAACCTGAGTTCTATGTTTTAAATCAATTAATGCTATCGTTCATTTACATGGCATAAGAAAATGTCCTTCAGAAAAGCAAATAATTTATTTAAAGTGTTATTTAGTAAACAACTGTTTGCTACAGTTTTTTTACTAAATTTAAATTTATGAAATGAATTTAGTAAACAAAAATGCAAATGAACGATGGCATTAATTGATTTAAAACACAGAATTGATGTTTACTAAATTTATTGCATATTTTGTAGTCACTTTGAAATGAAATATTAAAAGTCATTTTCAGCCTTTAAGTGTTACGTAATTTTTTAATAGAAATTTATTTTTTTTTTGCATTTACTAGTGCATTTAAATTTTCCAGTTATATATATTCCATATTGCTGTACATAACTAAAAGGCAGATATGTAAGAATTTGATATAAAAATTATTTTACCTTTTAATCATAGCATACAGAAAGTTTTTGCATAGATTTATATAAAAAATATGAGATTAAAATAAGTACATTTTATGAAAAATGCAGTGAAAAGGTAATTGGAGATTTATGCAAATTTTTTACCAAAAAATGTGCATTTATACACAGTAAAGTGGAGAATACATCGGATTAAATTTTTACCAGTCATTCGCATATGCAAAGAAAACATAGGGAAGATTTAGGTCAATTACTATCAAATATATACGTTTTTGTACCGTAAAATACGGGGAATATCTACCTTAATTTTTACCTAATATATACGTATACGTTTATATACAGTAAAAAATCGGGGAAATTTACGTAAATGTTTACTAAATATATACGCATACGTGAAGAAAAAAATTGAGATTTACGTATATAGGATAAATATACGTAAATTTTTACTAAAAATATACGTAAATCCCTGAAATTTACGTATATTATACGTAAAAGTTGCGAATGAACAGTAGTCTCTCGCGTAAATATACCTAAATTTTACGTAAAAGTTACGTATAACGTAAAAATATACGTAAATATTTAGTAATTGCCACTGGACACTTTTTATGATATTTTTACGTTCAACTTGAACGTTTTTTATACGAAAGGCCATTCGTAAATTGCACGTATTTTTCTCGTGCAATTTACGAATGCATGCTGCCTGGGTATAATTTCAGCAGAATTTTATTTTTATATAGTAGCATTTTATTTAAGCAATAAGATATATTCGAAAATCATTACTAGCTTTTGAATGCTCGAGTTTCCAGAGATACAGATCTACATATGGGAGCTGAAGTGACAGTGGCCTAACATAGTAGGCTTAAGATAAACAGTTTGAACATTATCGACTTCTCATGAAAAAAAGTACCTGCGGATATTTTTGTATTCATTATACATGCCCCGCCATCAGCCATTATACAGAAAGTGAGGAATTCCTTTCGGGGGACATTTGAAGGAAACCTGGCTCGTATGCACATTACGAATCGAGAAAACCACGAAAACGACCATGAAGCAGGCACGTTCGCCGGCCCGAACTACCACTGTTCAGCGAATTCCGGATCGAACTGCCAGTGTTCAGAGGCTTTAATCGTTTGGCCGCTGATGAGACCCGCACAGTCTATCTGTGGCCCCCGTATGTTCTTATGTATCATGTATTTAGGCAACTGCAAATACTGGTCTCTTCTGTACCTCGTATCATATATCTAACATAATCCTGCTGCGTATAACTTATTCTGTAACTAGCATCATGTATATATCCAGGTATCTGCATATATTATCTCTTAACATCCTGTGGCATATAACTTATTCTGCACCTGGTATCATGTATCCTGGCATCTGCTTAGATTAGTGTCTTCTAAACCTTGTATCGTATATCTCGTAATGTGTAACTTACTCTACACGTTATGTTCCTAAGTACGTTGTATGTCATTTTATGTATGGTCCTTATGTAGGTTCTTATTTATGTCGCCCTACATATCTCATGCACTCTTTGTTCTTTCGTATCGTATACTTCAGTAAAGCGGTACCATCATCTGCAGATCATTGTATCTTCTTATATCTGTATCAGCGTATATATGCATAATACTGCATATAACATATTTGTATATTCATATCTGCATATATCTGAATCCGCGTATATTTTTATTAGCATCTGCAAGTGTGAAATAAAGATTATTAGCAAGGATTTCATAAACAAGCTATAAGTATCTATACACAGGCCTTACATGCATGCATTACTGGATTACTGAATCAATAAATACTGAGGCCTGGGCAGCTGTGAGGGGTGATTTTCTGGGGGGCGCTTTGGTCTGCTAGACTGCCCTCGAGGATGCATCTGGCGCTGGGTTTGCGAGGCGTTCGCAAGGCCTCTGAGTGGCTATCTAGATAAAGGTAAACGTGGAGCTATACCGATTAACCGTATTGGTAGAGGGATGGTGTCCACGTTCTTCGTCGCATGTCGCATGCAGATATTTTGAACCGAAGTAACCAGATGTGGGGCATAAAAATTATCTCGTATATAAAAGAACCTTACGTTTGTTCTCCTATGCGGATCAGTCCTCATTTCCTTCTTTACACTTTCTGCTTGACAAATATATATATTAGGAAAAGATCGTGATTAAAGAATGTTTGACTCTTCTCTCATTTTTTTATTTTATTTTATTTATTTATTGTATCAACATTTTTCCGTTATAATTTCTTCCATTTTCTTGTACTGTTTTTAGCACTCCTTTCACTCTCATTTTCTCTTTAACTGCTTTGCTTCTTTTCAATGATATTCTGGAAAAATGAAGAAAAGATTCTCTTTCTATCATTTCTAGAAAGAGTTACGTTATTCTGCATATTCAAACCGTAAATTAAGCGAGAACTCATCGTGCTCCGGCTCTGGGACTTCTTAGTGTTAGAGTGAAACTACATTTCTAGACGCAACCCCAAATAAAATTAGATCAAGTATTTTATTTTATTAAGTGTTTCTCATTTATTTATTTAAAGTTAATTCTTATTTATTATTATATTTTATTGTTTATTTATTTCTGTTCATTTCCAAATAACTCCACAGGATGACGGTACTTCTAATTTTAGAAATTAAGCCTGATTTAAAGCAAGAAAAATGCATTTACAAGAAAAGAAATAAGTTGACGAAATATCAGAATATTCTTATCGAAAAATATAGAAAAACTTATTTTGATTAACACATTATTAATTATGTTATATCTTTCCTTCAAGTCTATTTTCCGTCAGTTCTACCAGAAAAACAAATTTGGTGAGTTTCATTAACGAGATATAGGGTTCTGCTATGTACAGAAGATTAAATCAACGCCCTTCAGACATTAGACTGATAAGCTAGTTATCGTTCTAATCTGAAGTAAGATAAAAGAGTCTTAAGAAAGGTAATATAAACTTTTCAATAACTCTTTAAATTACAGGTGGAACTGGTTGTGCTCCACCTGTGGGTATTTAAAATAACACAAAACTGAAACTTTAAATTCAAGTAAAGTAGTCTGAGAGTGCGCACAAAATAGTTTACTTAAGCTGGCTGAAGTAATTACCGTATTTGACGGCATATAAGACGCACTGGCATATAAGACGCACCCCTATTTAGAAGGCCACACACATATAGATGTAGAAAAAGTTATGTGTGTCTATACCTTTATCCGGGCTAAAAATAGCATTCAGTATTGAAAGTTAACCTGTGTCCTTCACGTATAAGACGCAGGTAACTTTTTTGAGACCATATTTAAGAAAAAAAGTTCGTCTTATATGCCATCAAATACGGTAACGACGCGTATTTAAACATCGGTTAGCCCTTTGTGGTGCACTGTACTTTAAAGGCGGCATTTCAACAAGAAAATTTGTATGCAGTCTATCTACGCCTAAAAGAGTATACAGGTAAAATTTTGTAAAAATTGCACTTTCCGTTTCAATTCTGTGGGTGTTCCATGATGTGTAACACTGCGCCGCCAGAGCTCTTAAAAGTGCGACTAACCGAGCATTGCAGTGAAGCACGGAAATGAGCAGAAGCTTATGTATAGTAATGAAAAAACACTGTATTATAGCTTTATATATGGTTTTCTGCATATACACAACTTTCTTGAATATATATGGATAAATGAGATAAATATATGTATGTACACAAGTCCTATATACAAAAATATTTTACAAAATTTTCGATTTCATAGCTTCGTGAAATTTTCAAATCATGTCACATCTTTTTGATAGAAGCGCAAACCAACTGTGAAGGTTTTGAACACAAAACTTGCTTTGTGCGACTTCTGTTCCGTGCAACAATATGTTTAGAATTCCAAGTAAAAACTTTAGGCTGTGTAGAGCGCCTTGGATGAGATGGATTGTCAACCTTCTCATCAAATAAAATGAGTTTCATCCGACATATCATCATCGGATTACACAAGTGTTTCAGGAACGTATATCTCAGTATCGCTCTATCTTCATGCTCTGATTCAGAATCAGAGGGTAATTCATGAAGCACTTTTAGCGCTTCGGAAAGAGTTAGACCTCTCTGTGCCATCTATGGAAAATTAATAATAAAAAATTAACTGCAATTAATATTAACAGTAAAGAAAAATAAGCTGTAAGATACGCATGCACAAAAAATATCTACACATTTATTGTAAATAAACGGGAATGAGACTAAAAAGCGACAGCAAAAAAATTCGCGCAGCTCCCCTAAATAAAGATGACTCAAACTGCTGATAAAATTCCCATCTGAAAACTAGTCACAAAAATTTCAACATACCCATATTAGGGCTTTCATAGCACAAATCACACCTAACACCTCAAACTGCTTTGTTTGAATTCATTCCCCTCCAAAACAACGGAAACAGAAAACATATACAACATATACAACAGAAAACATATACAACAGATGTTTTCTCCTAAGACAGATGTTCTGATGCATAATAGCATGAGATCGCTAACGGCGCAGTGTTCCCGCTAATGGAATGATTCAATTTTATTCAATGATTATGCGCATGCTTTTTGTATAAAAATGTAAAAAAATATATAACAAATATTATAGAGTACAACCATCAAAATTATACGGAAACTTGTTTTCAAACAAATTTTTTTGTATCGCAAAAAAAATATAGAAATTTACTAGAAAAAAAGTGGATTTTAATAACACATCATAAATGAAAATTCTGGGTCTCCTTGTGATATGCTGCCATCTAATATTTAAAAGGGAAGTTCGAAGTATATTATAAAGGCATTTTTATCCATTTATGGTTAAATTTAACGGTTTCAGAAGCGATTCAAGTTGGGTGTTCCATGTAGTGGAACACTGAGCCACAAAGGGTTAGAAGAATGCAGAGCAGAGCTGGAAATAGCAAAGGTTGAAAACGAGGTTGCCAGAGGCTCTAATTCTAAAGCATTCAAACTCTTTGCTTAAATACTCTACAATTAATTTTTATTCTGTTGAGGACTACGAAAAGAAAAAGTTTAGTAAATATTCATAAAACTCATAGTACCTCATTAATTAACATAAAATCCTACAAAGGGAGAATTTAAGTTGAATGGAAGAGTACTTGTAACTTAGAAGAAAAGCCCTGTGACTCTTATTCTACTTACCGAGATGCTGTGTTCATTTATGGTGAGTTTAGCCTTCGTTTGTAATTACGTTAGAAAGCACGTTAGCATAGAAGCTGAGTTCCTTAGTCGTCAGTTCAATAATTACTTTGTAACTAAACGAGCTATTTTGTAAATAATCATAATCTTAAGCTAAAAAAGCGGGTATTAAGGACCTGCTAAACACTTTAGCTTTTTTAATTTAAAAAGTGCAAGTAAATGTTTTAGTTGCTGTTTCCTACGACTCTAGTTATCACTTTGTATTACTGCATTCCATGTTAAAGGCGGGAAAAAATATTTCGTCTTGCAGTCTAGGAAGATTGTTTATATTAAGTCTAGAATGTTAGATTAGTCTAGAATGTCTAGTGTAATGTTATCAATCAATCCATAAATAAACAATAAAAATATTTTAAAGATTTTAAATTTTTTATTATATTATTTAGTAGCATTACTTATGAAATCAAAGAAAAAATTCTAAAGTGCTCGGAAAAAATTCCGAGCACTAAAAATAAAGAAAATATAATTTGGTTTTCATTAAGATTTTCGAAGCGGAAAACTTGAAAAAGATGAGCAATTCTTTCAATAAGAATCGAATTCCGGACCTTGTAATTGCCAGCCCGACGTGCTTTTAGTTACATCAGGGAGGCATGCGGTAAGTAGGAAGAAAATTCCTTACAAAGATGTGGATTGCATAAATCGTATGGGATTCACACAATCAGATACTAGTAAAGTATATTTTAAGTGAGAGCGTGATCATAGGAACCTTGTAATGCAATAAATAAGGCCAGTAAGCCGAAACTTGTTGAAATATCAAATTTCCCTTTACTTTGTGAAACAAGTGATTTAAAGTTAATTGCTAAATTTTAAAGTATGAAAAATCTGATACGTAACAGACTGATCAAAATGGAATAAAACAAAATTTGAAAAGATGCAGAATTCCATACCGATATCAGATTGATATATACCAAAGTGGAAAGTACCATACTGGTATGTTTCGCGTCTTAATTTAATTGCATTAAACTATATAATTTTAACTGAATTTCATTCCTTTTTTAAAGTAAACCACTAGTCTACACGGCCAGCTATTGAAAGTATGCATTTTAATCTCGCTAAAATTTTGAAACATCCTATGTATTTAAATAAAACTTGAATCCTTCAAATTTAAATTTAACAACTAATTTTTTAAACTTTCACAGGTTATTAAAGAAGACGACAGTGGCACAAGAGGATATGTTATTATAATAACTGCAGCAAATCCAGATGCAGCAAATACAAATTATACAGAAGTTGTTCAACAGATAAATTCATCACAACTATGTCTCATTGTTATAGGATTTACTAACCTTGGAGCTACGTCGGAGGGATTTCAAGAACTGGTATCTGCTTCGAGATGCGGCTCATTCTGGGGTGTATCTACGAAAGAGAAAGATGATGAGATTTTTGCGAAGTTATACCGTGCGATGGAGACTGTCCTTCCATCTCATGATACCAACTATGTCACTAAAATAGTAAGCATTTTGAAAGGTTCATCACTGCAATAAGTAAGAGATTTTACCAGATCAAACATTTTTCTTTTGAGGATCATAAAACATGGCAAGTTAACTGCATTTACAAGAACCAATGCTAAGCCGAGTTATCTCAAACATAAGCTAAGTTATTATTACATAAGCTAAGTTCCTTTTATAAAGTAGGACATATTTTATTTGTTACTGATAAATTAGGGTACAACAGTCTTTCCTTCATCATCGTGATCAAACAGAGCCATTAAGAGTTTTTTAAAGATCTTATGGAGAAATAACCTCATAGTGAAAGTTCTTAACTTAATTGGTTAAAACATTTAAATTCAATCGGATTCTGATCAACGGCAAGTAACCGTAATCAAATATGACTGCCGTGCAGTAAAATAACCGCCTTCAGAGGATACCGAATTCTTTCACTTTAACTGAGCTTTATAGCCGTAAACCTAGAATCAGATAAAACGTTCAAAGTTATTCACGAAAAATAAGTGAATGTTAGCATATTTTTGAAGCATTTGAAAGCAGTACGTATACTCCACATTCCGCACACAATTTCGAATGCAACTGATAGCATACTAATCACACAATTCTCCTATTCTGCATACATCAAATGAATTCGAAAATAATATGCATCACATTAGTGCTATAAAATGAAAGTTGTCTGACAACCCGAATGTAAAGATTAGATAATAGAAGTGAATATACAGTCCTTCGGCAGTATTTATAAGCTACAAAGAATTTTCTGCTGCTGGAATAAGCTTCCAAATACACTTGTACAAAATTAAGGGGCATGCAAATTATGTCTGTTTTTACGAAAAGTACTAATTATGCCGCAGAAGAATTGTTCAGATAATCAGAGTCGAATACCTAAGCGTACGCGTGCATATCTGTGGAGCTATGAGTGTAGAGGAGATATAGGTGCACTAGGGCTTTTTGACGATTTGTTTGGTCCTGCTACTTCACGACATTCGCGGCGTCTCTCGCAAAAATTGGGTGAATTTAAGGTTCAGGTAAAATGAGTAGCCATGAATGTATGGATGATGGAATGAGATGGAGCATTGTCGATAGGTTGGAGGCAGGCCAAACACAGGTGCCTATAGATCTCAGTGTGTCGTCTGCAATTTGTGAAGATAGTTTCAAGACTCTGTATTCATTGCGAGAAGACTGAACAATTTTGACTAAGATCCACAGCGACGAATGGGATCATTATTTGTCACTTTCAGCGTGGTGACACAAGAATGCTACAGCTCTAGTTTCAGTGGCAACATACAGCTCTCACGTGAGCTGTATGCTACCACTGGAACCTGAGTTTCACTGTCTACAGTTGCTCGAAAGCTTCATAGGATGGGGATGCGGGCTATGTGCCCGACGTGTTGTGTGCGCCCCACTCACTGCAGCACAAAAGAGAGCGTGTTTAGCATGGTGAACACAGCAAACACTTTCGACCAGACTTCAGTGGAGCACCGTTCATTTTTTACATAGGAGTCGAGATTCCTTATGGACACTGATTCTCTGCGTACTTCATCTGGAGAGAGCCTGGAATACGATACAATCTCTCCCTCATGAGGGAAAAGGGTCTTTAAGGTGGTAGAGGTGCAATGATTTGTGTTGGCATTATGTTGAGCATCCGAAGACTCATACATACATGTTTGTCTGATTGCTATGATGTAGAGAGAGATCTTAGAGCCCTATGTCCGACTTTTCATGTGTCCTGGCCTCCTGTTAATGAACGACAACGCTCGTCTATATATGGTTCAGTTGGTCGACGATTACTTGGAAAGTGACGATGTTCGCAGCATGGATTCGCAAGCCAGATTTCTTGATCTTAACCCTAAACAGCATGTCCGGGACACCCTTGGTAGGGCAATTTCATCTCATCATCTCCTTCCGAGAAAAAATTGGAATCTAGGAATTGAAAACTGCCTTACTGCTGGAATGAGATCGACTGCAATGGGGCTACTTAACTGCGCCCTGTCCAGTATGCCGTCACGCAGCATAATCTGCCTGACTGTTAGAGGGGACCGTACCCCATATTAGATTTTAATTAAAATTAATTAGTTTTTAGAAATTTGACATAATGTGAAAATGTTCTTAATTTTGCACACGACTGTATATTATATATGTAGTGCGTATACAGAACTCTTTATATGTTTTTGAAGTTACCATACAAAGCATTTAGGCATTCTCAATCCTTGTATTCGCCATAGGAATTAAGTCGTTAAGGGTTATTGTAACTTCGTGTTTTTACGGATTATTTCCTAGTTCTTTAAATGTAATTTGAGCAAAATATACCTTAGAGTTAAGTCCAGCTAGTTTATCAAAAGCCAAAATTTTAAATAATTTATCAGAATATTGTCAGTGTTTTAAACGTTCACTAAAAAACTAGATAATTTATATTTAAATATTATTTGAAAATCTAAATTATAATTTTCCATAAATTAATTCTTTTTATAATTAAAGATAGTTAAATTAATTAATTAACCAATTTATTTAGAATTAAAGATAGTACATTAAAGATACTGATGGCCAAAGTCATGGCCTATTTTAAGGTCGGTACTTCAACTAGTGATTTGACGCATTGCTTTTTCTCGCTTGCTGTTGCTTGAGTAACTCACGTCTCTTTGTCGCCTTCTGCATTGCATAAAATGTAAATTGCGTATTTTGAAACTGTGAGGCGTCTGTGGCACCTCTAATGTTATATCAGGTTTTACCAGACGTATATATAATTATATTTCCGAAATAATTGTTCCTGTAAAAATTTAAATGATATTTTAACCAGCAAGCCAGTTATGATTTTTGCACCAGTCCTAAAAAACAGTCTTCTCAGCCACGACTCAAACGTGACTTAGTTTCCCCCTAAAACCATATAAAGCATAAAAATAAAATATATGTATATTGTACTTATAAATATATGCAGGGAGTTGAAAGTCGATTCATCAAAGGTACAGTAAGATACGTATTTATGAGACATTCATTGCCTGTAGTTTATATTGGAAAAGAGATCAATCTCTACAACAAATTCTGTGGACTTACTTCATGGCTTTCACAATTCAAATTCTGTGCTTTCATCATATTATTAGAGACATTATCAAGCTTTACTTTAATTATATTATGGATAACAGCAGTGATTTACAGATGTTGAAGCGTACGTGTAGTGTTTATGCTCATAATTTGTTTTAAGGATCTCCACATAATTTAGTCTAAACTTTTAAGAGCTGGATATTTCACTGCATAACACTCTCCAACTATACCCAGGAATGATGTTCATTCTCCTGCAATAAAGCAGTGAATATAATATTTTAGTGGGCTTCAACATCCAGGGTTGTTACAAAGAATAGAGGCCCGATAAGTCATTGCCTTGAGACTGCACAATGAAATAATAATTTTCGCAAGATTTCGCAAGAGAAGATTTAATAGATATACGCAGGGTATTAGAACTTTCTTCGGTAATTTTGGCTGCAGAGTATCCACATCAGTGAGAATATCTCATGTGTAAAAACCACTTGCACTAAATAAAATTATCGCCACAAATGAAGTTCCTAAAAACAATCACAGAAGCTATGCACAATGTGACAATTTTGAAACACCTGCTCCCCACAAAAGATTCCTCAAATCTCCTTCTGCTTCTGATAAACTTATATGACCCTCCCTTCCACGATCTTCTTTCTCGACTTCTTGCATTACAACGGAATGATACAGAAACTGGATAAGCAAATCAAATCAAATATATATAAAATTGTGTAGTCTTAAATACGTCTGATCCACTTTTAAATTGAATACCTGCATATAAATACGATCACTGTTAAATATCATTACAAAATGATCCATTTCTTAATATCTGTTAATGAAAAATTGAAGTATTTTATAATCAGAAAATCGCTGGCTATTTAATTGTCGGTAATTTTGTATTGAATTTAAAATCGAATGCTGCTCAGGTACATTCTAAGGAAAAAGAAAAGCTTTTTTTTTTCGGAAAGTAGCTTTTCGGAACTGAATCATAATGAAACCAAACTTGCCACTGAAGCCAACTAAAAATATAAAAAAATGAGAAATTTTTATTGACATATAATATATCAAAGATTATATTATTTTGTAATTAATATCCAACAGCTAATAGGTTTTGTCATTAACGTTTAAGCCCAAACTGAAAGAAATATTTTATTATCATAAAAATGGCTGGTAGTTGTAGAATATTGCTATTGATTACAATACGCTTATATATAGTGTTCTCATAATTAATTAATTTTTTTCTGTTACACCCAGATTGGTACACAGCACGTAGAGTATGGAAAGCTACTGCGGATTCAGACGAACGAAATAGCTTCAAAGTTTACGCTTCGAGTCGGTAGTGTATTTGATCTTAGTAAACATTTTTCTTGCATCGAGACTAATGGAAATGCATTGGTTAAGCTTTCAAAAGAGGGCCCTTTTTCCTTTTCTTTTCCTTCTCAAGAAGTAAGTATTCCTTCAAATTATATACTAAATAGGCATCCTTCACTTTATTGAATATTGATCTTTTCATTTCTACTTGCATATATATTACATGCTAGATACATTCATTTTTAGAGAAGGACAAATTTTCTCATCTAAAAGTGATAAACTTTTTACATAAAATTGTAATTATTAGTTAACGGTCTAGACCAGTGGTGTCCAATCTTTGGCCGCTCGCGAGCACATTTCCACCAATCTTATGCGATACATCTGAAATATTAATTTCGGCAAATGAGTTTGAGATGAACAATAATATTGGTTAAACTTTATGGAAATCAGAGAAGCGGAGTTTCAAAATTATTTTTCAGTACATTTATGTTTTGAGAGTATTTCTCTGTTTCAATTCCCTTGTGGTTATTAATATGGCTTGAAAAATTCTGAAAATGAGTAAAATATTTTTCTTTCATCGGATTTATCCACAAATTTAACTTTATCTGAAAAGCAGTTACTGTTCCAGTGAATTGAAAAAGACTGAAAAAGGGTTTTTTTCTTTTCCCTGGAGATCTTCGTTCGGTTTGTTCAGTTTAACTGTTATATCCGTGAAAAAATACAGATCGGACAACCAATTATTATCGTCCAATTCTTTATAACTTTTGTTTCCGGATTCCAGAAACTGCTTTATTGGCGAAAGAAGGTCTACAAATCGTTGAAGCACTACCTTTCTGCCTGCTGAGCCATCTAACATCAGAATGAAGCAATAGAATTCCATACTCGGTATCAAGTTCATCAGTCAGCAATCAATTATTTTATACCGTCTGCAAGATATCTCTTATGACTATAAATGCTTACCATATTTTGACAATTAAGAAATATAAATGAATGGTTACTTTAAAAATATTTTTCGTTCATAGTACCTAATCTGGCTGGCGAGCACACATGAGCTGGCAAGTACAAGGTTGGGCACCACTGGTCTAGACTTTAAAAAAAGATGCAATTGCTTAATTCATAACTAGTAATCAAATACAACTGTTTATTTAATCAAAAGATATTCATTGCTGATTTTCGTGCAACCATCTATTCATATGGTCTGTAGCTGTCACCTTAATTCAGTTTTCGGAAAAGCAACTTCGTATCTATTATATTATTAGCTCAGAAGGGCTTGTAAGGTTTATCCTAAGTTCTTAACAGTTAATTTTTAATTAAAGCCACTTTCCTGTCGCTTCTAATTTCAGCTTACAAATTTCCTGCCAGAATGTGTTTTTAGAATCGCGGTTAAATGCAAATGAAGGGAGAATAATATTTAAAGTCGAAACTTCGTTAGAGAGTCAGAGATTCTGACTAGCGCGCGTTCGCCTTTTGGCTACTACACTCTCTCTAAAACTATTACTACGCTCGGTCGTACTTCAGGCCCTTGATAGCTTCACCGTTTAGTTAGCATTTAAGAGGCAAACTACGGTAGAAGTTTGACAGCTTCAGCTATATCTCTTTAGTTAAGCATTAGTTAAGTTTTCTTAGTATTCTTGAGTTCAAGCCGAAGTAGAGGCTTTTCTGTACGTTCTGAGAGAGGACCGTCTGTAAAACTTTATTTTCAGCAATAAAGGGTAATCAAGCCTTCTGAGTTTCTGTCTCCTGACTAAAGCGATTATTCGCTTACCAGTTCTCAAGGTTCCACACATTTAACTGTAAATTCTAGGTTGGAAAATCACAGACTATTAATTTCGCTTTGGCATTTTGCGTCAATTCACTGTAAATATCCATATCACTTTTCAAACTGTTGCCACTAAATGTTATCGTCCTGTGTTATATTTAAATATATTAAATAATGAAAAATCTGGATAAATGTATCTATGTTTCTTGCATTGTGATGAAACAACGGTACCTAGAACCATCCAATTTTGAATAACGTATTTCTCCACCGAATATGGGCATCTGGAAGCCCAAATTTGGAATTTGGAACTTGTTTCATTATTTATTTCATATTTTGGCACATTTCAACAAATTTTCGATTAAGAAACTCAACAATTCAAAGCGAGCAATGGCAACACTGTACGGAAAAAAAAAAATATCTCCAGCTCGCGATTTTGTGTATCGGAAATGCTGAAGATATGCTGATTTTAAAATTAGTTTGCGATATTGCTGTTGAACTGAATTTTATGATTTAAGTGCGAAGAATATGATATTTAATAAATAAAGGTAACTCATAAAAACGTTTAATAAAGCTCCTTTGGGCTTAATGTAAAATATGAAAGCTTCCATATTTTTTATTATTTAATTTTAACTTTCTTTTTGTGCATGACAAAACATAATCTCATAATTGTAACGATTGAGCAGCCTAGACTGTATAGGGATTAGGAACGGGAAGCCTACTAGGGTACCGAAAGGCCTGGATTCGAATCCCCGAGAGAGTACGGTTGTAAGTGTCTGTCTTTTAGGTTCCTCCACAATAAATGGCCACCACTTCTGGCCTTAGGAGTGACCAGTGCTACTATGCACTACCCGCCATTGAATAATAAATGATTGTAAAGACGGATGCTTCTGGTTAATTTCTTCTCATTTCTTCTTTAATTTCCAACTTTCTTTTTTATATATTGGCTTTATTTTCTAGAATATTCTAACGAAATTCTTTTCTCGAACTTCTTATCGATCTCAGAGAAATGAATTCTATCATATTTCTGCTCTATTTTATGACTTCATCCAGGTACATATCACGAGCGATCTATGACATAAGTTTGCAAATAGTTATCTTCAAGCATTTCTAGAATTTCAAGCAATAATTTGCAAATAGTTATCTTCAAGCATTCTAGAATAGGAAGCCTACTAGGTACCGAAAGGCCTGGATTCGAATCCCCGAGAGGGTACGGTTGTAAGTGTCGTCTTTTAGGTTCCTCACAATAAAATGGCCACCACTTCTGGCCTTAGGAGTGACCAGTGCTACTAGGCAACTAACCGCCATGAATAATAATAATGAATTGAAAAGACGGATGCTTCTGGTTAAATTTCTTCTCATTTCTTCTTTTAATTTTCCACACTTTCTTTTTATATATTGAGGCTTATTTCTAGAATATTCTAACGAAATTCTTTTCTCGAACTTCTTATCGATCTCAGATAGAAATGAATTCTATCAATATTCTGCTCTACATTTTATGACTTCATCCCAGGTACTAATCACGGCGATCTATGACATAAGTTTGCAAATAGATCTTCAAGCATTCAGAATTTCAGATAAGTTTGCAAATATCTTTCAAGCATTTCTAGAATAGGAAGCCTACTAGGGTACCGAAAGGCCTGGATTCGAATCCCCGAGAGGTACGGTTGTAAGTGTCTGTCTTTTAGGTTCCTCCACAATAAAATGGCCACCACTTCTGGCCTTAGGAGTGACCAGTGCTACTAGGCAACTAACCGCCATTGAATAATAATAATGAATTGTAAAGACGGATGCTTCTGGTTAAATTTCTTCTCATTTCTTCTTTTAATTTTCCACACTTTCTTTTTTATATATTGAGGCTATTATTTCTAGAATATTCTAACGAAATTCTTTTTCTCGAACTTCTTATCGATCTCAGATAGAAATGAATTCTATCAATATTTCTGCTCTACATTTTACGACTTCATCCCAGGTACATAATCACGAGCGATCTATGACATAAGTTTGCAAATAGTTATCTTCAAGCATTTCTAGAATTTTGTTAATACCTGATTTCTGAGTATCTTCATTCTGTAAGAAATATTTCATCAGTCATATTATTAAGGACACGGTTCTTGAATATTAATAAAGATATACTAATAGACAGTAAGATTAAAAACAATCCTCTAACGATAGATCATGGTAATAACAATAGGACTTATAAGACATCTGTTTCACCACTGACTCAAGACTTTTTTCATCCTATGGTCTTTAAGATTGAGTCGTTATGTAAGCTGGAACTCACACTATATTATTTTTAATTAAGACATTATAAGCCTTATTGTTAGGTATATTTTTTACCGTTCTAATTATGTCCATCGATTATAAGTTAAGATTCATATCTGTCCTCAACTATGCCAAAATCATTTCCCCTTAAGTAAAAAACAGCTTGTTTTTACTCTTGTGTACATTGCGCTCTTAATTTTTGTTCTTCGGAATCTTTGTTTTCTAATGAACTCAATTATTTGACTGCGGTTGCCACTGATAGAGCATTTTCTCCAATAGTCATTGATAAAACCTTTAAAGAACTTATTTTATTCTAACCAATTACTTTTATTTTAAGAAATTCTATTTTCCCTTCTGATCTCAAATTCCTGCCAGAATGCAAATTTAAATGACGTATATTCAAATCCAAGTGAGTTTGGAAAAAGTATTTATGCAGCAGTTTTAAGAGTTCGAGGTGTAAGGAGAGTTAGTGCTGAATTTATGCCTCGTGTCTGAAAGTAGCTCTGTAGTTGCAAATAGTTGGTGCTAACCACTTTAGATTATATTGAGGCTCGGCTTTGCTGTGTGTAGCCGATTTAGCGGTTTAGATAGAGTAGGAGACAGTCGTGAAGCTATCTTTAATTTATTGTGATCGTACATAATATTTTTCTGTTCAAGTTACTTAGCCACAAGTGATGGTGAAATTGTAAGCACCGAGTGAGTGCAATTTCTGTTTAGTTAGGAAAAAAAAAAAAAAAAAAAAAAGGCTGTTACAACCTTCTTTCTGCAGTCATCTATCTGTTCCTTAGCAAGAATTCGCTACGTCGTCTTTCAGTAAGGTTGCGGTTCTCAACCGGTGTACGCGTACCACTGGTGGTACGCAAAAGAAAAATAGGTGGTACGCAAAGGTACAAAGTGTTTTTAACTATTAAATTAAAAAATTAAATACTGTAACATTCTGTTAAAGGTTTTTTCTCTAACACTTGTAAATTTATGCGATCTGAGCTTTGTTCAAGGACTTTAGCAAAATATTTTCACAAATATTCTTTTAGCCATAGATAGATATAAAAAAATTGTAATAAATAATGTTTTTAAAGGGACTAATAGAAATATATGTTGTATTTAATAGGAAATAAAAATAAAAAATACTATAGTATAAAAAGATATAAGATACCTTATAAAAAGATAATAGTATCTCATTAATTCTTTTAGAGTTTATCGATTTATTAGCATGTCTACACTTTATATCGCCACCATTTCCGGGCTCATATTGCTCTATTTTGAATTAGAAGCATTGTGTCGATTTGTTTTCTCTAACAGCAGGTATTTTGTCTTCTTGTTACTTTGCATTCCTTACTTATCTACGCTATTTAAGAATATCGTCGTTTGTTTTTGAAGAAATCGTATAATTTATCACAATATAAGAATATTGTGCATTTAAATATTTTTGAAAAAATAATCAAACAAAGCTATATTTTCAAAATGGAAAAATGGCTAGGACTGAAGAAAAGTGATGATTCACAGGTGATGGATTCAGGACAATCCACTAGCACTAAAAATATTGAAAAGAAAGAAGAATTGTTTGTAGAAAATTTAATGAAATTATTTTATCATTTAGGTTTTCTCGGAATGGATATGAAATGGACCCTCAACCTCAATGTGTTGTTTGCTGTTAAATATCATCCAATCAACGTAGGAAGTCATTGTTTCTTAAAAGACATCTTGAATCTGAAGACTATTTTACGAGGAAATCGGTGGAGTTCAAAAATAGTAAACAAGTAATGAGATGTTTTGTTACTTCAAGTGAAAAGTTTTGAAAGCTAACTAACTGGGTAACTACCCAGTAAACCTAAGAATTGCCAAGACTGGGCAGGTTCACACTATAGGAGAAAACCTAACATTACCAGCAGCTAAAGATATCGTTTTAACATTATTCAGTGAAAAAGTGGCTGATAAACTTAAGAATATTCTGTTACCAAATGATATAGTAAGTCGACGAATTCATGAAATGGCAAATTCTATGCAAGTTAAATTATTCAAAAAGTGAAGCACAGTAAGTATTTCGCATTGCAATCGGTTGTGAAAAGGATGATATAACGAAATTTGTTTAATTATTAGTTTACATACCTTTCGAAGAAGACAAACGAATTGCCGAAGAATATTTATTTTGTGAATCTTTTCATGATAGAGCAACTGCAAATTATATTTTCAAAGTAAGACAATTTTATGTTTGAGAATGACCTTGGAATAAGTGCACTGCATTATGCAATCACGGAGCTCGGGCTTTAGCAGGAAAACATACCGGTGTTATTTCTCAAATAAAGAAAATCGCACCTGACACTAATTTTACTCACTGCTGCTTCAGCAGGATGTTTTAGTAGCCAAAATCTGAAAATCGTTTTGAATCAAGCTGTGAAAATTGTTAATTTTATTAAAAGCCGAGCTTTAGATTCAAGAATATTTACGATTTTATGCCAAGAGTTTGGGCAGTGAACATGAAAGAAACACTTTCATTACATACCGAAGTAATGCGTTTATCCAGAGGCAAAGTTTTAAATCGTCTTTCTGAACTTCAATGAAGAAATTCAAATTTTGCTCTGTGATTAAATAGTTGAATTGCAAAAATGTTTATTCAGGAAATTACGGTTGACGCATATTTAGCTGATATTTATAGAAAGTAAAATAAAATAAATTTAGGATTACAAGGACAAAGTGTTAATTTGTTTACCATTAGAAATAAAATAAATGCAATTATAAAATAAACTTGAGCTAATAATCAAAGAATTGGATAATAATATTTTAAGCTTTTCACCACTCTTAAAAAGCTTTCTAACAGAAAATAAAAGAAGAATTAACATCCGACATTAAAAATAATTATTTTTCATTGATACATAATTTCAACGTGTACTCTCCCCGAGGATTATGAAAAAAAATTGGATTAGAAATCCGTTTTGTTCAAATGCATCTGAAATTTTATCTCGTGAAGAAAAAAAGCAATCGATAGAAATTTCCTGTGATCGAACTCTGACTGAAGATTTCAAAAATAACACACTTGCAAACTTTTGGCTAAACCGAAAAAATTAATTTAAAGGCATTTCAAATAAAGCTATTAAATTTTTATAGCCCTTTTGCACAACCTATTTGTGTGAACAAGGATTTTCTTCCATATCATACTTAAAAAATAAATACAGAACAAAATTAAAAGTGGATCCTAATTTACGGTTCAAATTAAGTAAAATGAGAGCAAACATAAAGAAATTGATCTCTCTTAAACAGGCCCAAATTTCTTATTAAATTTTAGAATTAAAGTATTATAAATAAAATTAAAATCTTAAAGATAATTAAATGGTAACCAATTTTTAATCTGATATTTTTGAAATCTGATATTGAATCTGATATTTTTGAGCATTTTTAATACAAATAGCCAATAGGTTGTGCAAATGGCAAAATATATATTTTAATAGTTCTACTGAGAAACTGAAAAATAATCATCGTAAAATGTAGTGATGGTACTTAAAATTTTTAAATTTTTGTTTAGACGGTACGCGTTAGTTAAAAGTTTGAGAACCGCTGCAGTAGGGTGTGCAGTTTATGCTCCCAAAACACACAAGAAGATTCTACACGCTGTTAAAAATAACAGTTATAACAACCATGTCGCCATTCCATTTCATTCTTCTATATGTTTTAAAACTGCACGGATTCCCCAGAAGTTCAATTTTAAGTCCTCTTCTCAACTATGAATCAACTTCGTTGTTCGGTTTTAAAGATTCCGTCTTTGACTTTGATTTTTGAGTAACTTATATCATATCCTTTCAGTGTGATTTGAGATATATTGGCCAAGCTAAAAAAATGCTAGAATTTCAAGTCAAGAATAACGAATCTTATATCCAACAAGGAGAATTAAACAAATCTTCGATAGTTATTTAGAACTGGAAACTTAATTACAATTTTGACTTCGAAAATTATCTATAAAATTTCTTCGGTTGTGCGAAAATTATCTGCAAAGCTTCTTCAGTTGGTGAATTCGATTTCCTTGAATTTTTTTACATTCACAAAAATTTAGTTAATCACATTAGGCTCATTAGCTCTTCCTAATGCATTTTAGAATTCTAATATCATAGTCTTTTCCCGTTTCATTACTATTTTCCTCTGCAAACGGTGCTCCCATTTCGAAGAATTTTTTGAAGAAAATGCATCTGTGTTTGGTCATCCTCGATACCGTTAGCGTTTTATTCAATGTCTAGATAAAATAATGTAGTTGTTTTGCCTAATTTTAAACAAAAATTCGTATATTATCATGTTTTTATCTTAATTTCCTCTGCCAGTTATTGAAAAGCTGCTTCGGTATATCATTTAAATATCACCTTGATTTCTTTGAGTTTTTCTCTCATGCAAATCGTTTTATCTGTTTGAAACAATTTTAAAAGCGACTGCTCAAACTATGCTAGTCGTTTCCTACTCTCAAGAGTGCATTGTCCGAATTACGGAAGCCAGGAAAACTAAATAGCTCTTTGTCGTGCATACATCAGGTGTACTGACTGGGAGGAAGGAGTTCAGCTCCTAACTTTTATATAATAAAGGGAATGTATGCTGTTGTTCTTCAACAATCAATATGGAATTTCAATATTACCTATGACAGTACTTACTTTTATCGCGTAATATGATTCTTGCCAGCTTATACTGCCCATCTTCATCAAAAGCTTTTTATTCCAAATTTTTATTGCGAATTCAAAGTTTGTGGGAATTCCTATAGACGCTATTGAAATAGCTGTGAAAATCCAAACTTTCCGTTTCTCTATATTATAAATTCTGTGCCCTGTCTCGAGAGCTGCATCTATATTAAAATCGTTTATATTATAAAAACTATCATTTTTCAGAAAGCAGATAGTCAAAAAACTTCCTTAGATGTCTATTACTTTATATATTTTGCAGAGACTCATCTTTGTTTTCGTACTTGGATGTACATGTGTTCCTTTGTATTTTTACGTATATATATATATACTGTGTCCTTGATATTGATTTCGTTAGCATGTAAAATTTACTTTAAATAACAGGTTATATTTCACGTTAAATTATGTCTTCCACTTCTAATTCTTCCGTCAACTTCAGCAGAAAAGCAAACTGAGTGGGTTTCAACTATAAGGAATAATATTCTTTTAGTGAAATTTATTGTACAAAAAATGCAAGTCAGAGTGTCTGTAAATCAGTCAATGGCGCTGTAATTCTGATAATTTCATAATTCATTTGCCATTCCATGATTCATTTTGCAGAGCTGTGTTAGTTTCGGTGAGTTCTAGATTTACTTTTTATTTACTTTTAAAAGCCGTGCTTAGTAAGGAGCGGGATTGCTAGGTATTTAATTTGCTTTCTCACATTTATATATGCTTCTTTTGTTGTAGTTCAACAAGAAATGGTTTATATTTTGTTAAGTTTCAGCTATAATTACAAGCTAGTTTTAACAACAAACTTTGAATTCGATTCTGCTATTGTAGTAGTTAAACAGCGTTCTTAAAAAGGTGGGTTAAGCGTTTGCAATCTAGAAGGTTAAGTTGTGCAAATTAATTATAACTTTATAATCTGAAACCCTTTTAAGGATAAAAATGTTGTAGTTTCTTGCTTTTGATTTTTTATTAATGTAAATTAAAATTATTAATGCAAAAATCGTTTTATATTCTACTTCCATAACGTGCCATTTGGTTTGTAGTAATTCCGAGAAGCTGCTCTAAATGTCATGCTTCTCCGTCGAATTCCATCAGTCTCCTACCAACCTATTTCTTTTTTACTGAGGCGAGATTCACGTTTTCACAGTTAAAAATATGATCTTGTACTCTCAAGTCCGTTTTCAATTTTTCAAGTCGCAACGGTATAACTGCACAAAAAATTTTAAAGCTTACATTAAATTCCCCTTGATACATACAAGAAATGGAAGAAAAAATAATGTTTCCATTGAGTGATAGTTTTGAAATAGAAACCATGTATATCCATAAATTTTAATTATTTTTTCCCAACAGGATGACGTCGAGTGTTCGTTAACTACAGATAAGCTTGGTTCTGTTTATATACAAATTCAGATGACAACAAAGCTTAATCAGTACTTTGAAGAGCATACGTGGGTAAAAGACACGACGAGTCTAGCATCTAATAGTCCAGCGAGTGTGGATTTATCTACTCAAGCACAGGTAACATAAAACAAATTATCAGATGAAATATTTTTAATCACTTGCCATATTACTTTGTGTTACATTTTTGTAATAAAAAATATTTTTATTATTATCATCAAGCCTATTATCATCAAGTTGTACGTTCATGCTAATAAACTGAGTTGTATGCTCATGTTATTAAAAACATTGAGTCTGGTTTCAAGTCAGCTTTTGAAGCTGTAAAAGTACAAGGTATTTTTTCTTTCTTTTCTATTGCTTTCGTGGGGTAAAGGTGGCACACTCGGCGCGTATACGAGAGTTTCAGGTTCGAGTCCTGGCAACGGCATTACCCATTTTTCATGAACTCCAAAAATCCTAATGACTAAAGGTGGCGCCCGAACTAAAATGGGGTGGCTGATGATTCTTTACCAACAGGATTTGTAGACTAGGTCGCGTAAACCCTAGTTGCCCTTTAAAAGGAGGAGTATATAAGGTATTTTCTCCCTCCTTTCTGGATGCCTTCGTGGTAGCACACTCGACGCGTATTCGAGAGGTCTCCGTTCGAGTCCCGGCGAAGGCATTGCTCCTTTTTGTGTTTCCTACTTAATTCTAATGACTCTACAGATGTATGAAACGCACTGAAGTTTAACTTATTTCCTAATTCACGCCCTGTAAACTCAGTAACTTTCCCAACTGTGATAAGTATTTTATATTACATATTAGTTTTTTTTCCTTTTAAACACATAATCATTAAAACAGAAGTACTTTAGCTCCTTTCCTTTTCAAGATGAAATAACTTATTTCCAGACTGAATCAGCTCAATACAAACGGAAAGTAAATGTTAAAAATTTATAGTTATGCAACTGTTTATTAAAAGAAATACAAATAAACCGGACTAACCGGATAATTAATCTAAGTAATTTAACAAGTTCGAAACATTAATATGCAAGTAATGCATTAAGGACATTGCAGATCACAACAATAAATGAAATCTAGAATTACATTAAGAACTTTTAAATCATTTTAATGAATTTTAATTTACCCTTACAAATTCTTTCATTTATAAAGTTTTAAACAGGCAACAATATACTGTTAAATTCCAACAAAACGTTCAGTATTCTAACATCCTTTTTCTTTCCTTCAAGTGCTTAAATGCATTGTCTTAATGTGTTGCACGAAATGCATTAAAATAAGAAAAGGTATTTTTCATCATATTTAAAATATTTAGAATTTACTAAATAAAATTAGTTAAACTATAAAAGTACATTCAAATTATAGCATACTATTAAAGTACAATACAAAAGAGTAATACATATATGCTTTGATGTATGGAATTATAAACTGCCTAAATCTTTTCAAATTGATCATTAAATTAGAACTTCTTTTTTAATCCCGAAGAAAATTGCAGTCATGTCATGAAATTTATTGCTTAGAATAAAAATTTGCGATTGAGTGCTTGCGTTCAAGGTTTATATCTTCCGAACATAAAATTTACTCAGTTTAATCTCAAAATATTTTAAAACTTTACGGGTAACTTTTGATTTATTTGTAAACTCTACTTCGGATTTTCACTACATTTACGTTCTTTATAATTTTTATTTTAGTTACTTCCAAGCAGATGAACAAGATTTTAGATACAAGATAAGACTCCTGCATACATGATCTGCTACAAAAGAAAGGATGATTTTCAAACTCATGATCATTTTCTTTTACAAAACTCTGTTAAGAATACCTACAAATACCTGACATCTTTAGCATTGTGGGGTAATAACTCTGATAATTATTTGTAATAGGATTCAATTGTCCTAAAGTTGATTTATCGCAGTGAAGGAGGAAAAAGCAGTGAAGGAAAAAGAAAACGTAGTGTAAAGTACCAGAGATACACGCAAATGTTTTACTTCTCTGTAAGAAGTAAAGGAGCTACTGGAATTGCGAAAAATTTCGGGTATCATATTTCAACAAAAATATCCATTTTGACCGTTCTCGAATTCAGCTGAAACTGTTATAACATATAGCTGAAACATAACATATACGAAACTGTTATAACATATAGCTGTGCACCTCCCTTTTTGGTTGCAATCGGCCCCACCAAACGTATGTATATATCCACTGTGTTACCCGGCTGGGTGAGCTGAGTTTTTCTGTTTTTATATGTTTGTAAATTGTGCACGTTTTTGCTTTAAAAGGGGTTTAATTAAGTATGAAGACAAGTGGTGTCCACATCAGACTTTTCTTTTTGCAGTGAAAGAGAATCACGAAGAGCAGGCCATAGGAATAAGCTATTTTGCTTTAGTGCAGCACAGAATGTTTAACTGATTGAAAAAAATACCTGCGCTTTTTGCGGAAGCGATCACAGATGTATTTTAGAGGATTCGATGCATTCTTCCTCCCACTCTTTTTTTTTTCTTTTTCTTTTTTTTCCAAACTTGAATAAGTCAAAAATCGTCTCGTTGTCTTCAGTCTGACAACTTTTTAAATCTCGGCTTCCGGAAAAGTAAGAATGTCTCTGATTTCAGGCTCGTTTCCAGCATTTTCGGCCCCTAAGCGATCAGTATATATAACAACCCGTATATAAATTAAACATATTTATAATTCAAAACAAAATATACTTTTATTTAGTGTCATTTCTAGAAACCTAGGCCGTTGTCTGTGTCGCCTATGGTTGGAGCAGGCTCTGTCTCATTTTACTCTAAACTAGATTAATCTGTATCCAATAAAAGTTTTTGAAGCCTGTCAAGCCAATGAAACCCGAGAAATGTTTTTTTGGAAAATTCGAGCCTGTTCCATAGGAAACATAGAATCCTAGTAGCTCATTGTTTCTAAAATGATTCTTAGAATATAATTCAATGAGAGATGTGACGTAAAAGTAATAAATAAATCAGTTTTCATTTTAAACGATGCTAATGTTTTCCTAAATTCCTTTCAGTAAGAAATATGTGCTCAGTCCTCAGAAAAGAGTTGTCACAAAAAGGATTGCAGATCTAGCACTCGTACAACAGAATAGTCACTGCCAGCTCATTGTCTGGGCAACGAAATAAATCTTCCTCAGGTTTTTCCAACAGAATTCGACAGCGGGTGTTGCTAGCCGTACTGTCGAATCATTATCCTGAAATATTGATCGCTATTGTTTATCGCCTGCAAATTTCAATAGATACATGCTAACTCTATAGTTGTCTCTCCATGCTAACTGTGTAGCTTAACCGTAGATCAGGGAGGCTGCAAACTTCAACAATCATCTTCTGAAAAGATCATATGTCATTATTATCAGTATGTTATCAATCACATTCATTCCCCCAGATGAAATTCTTTTTCCGCCCTGGTCATCCTAAACTATAAGGTTTAGCCTGCTGGCTTCCGTATCGATGGATCTGGTTTCAAATACCGGAGAACTCTTGGATGTTTGTAAGCGTATAGAATCTTTCCGATATGGGAGCAATTAAAGTATATGGTGAATCAAGAATTCTATCAAGTGGTTTAGTGGTAGGTAAGGGAGATAGGAGACTCTTGGATCCCTGTTTCAAATTGAGGCAGAGCTGAACATTGTTATATATTTGATATTTTAAAATTTATTCATATTTATGAATAATTATACTTGTAAAATATGCATAATTTTGTTGTTTGTTCTATTTTATTTATTATTAACGCTATTGGTTTTTATTGAAATTTCGGCGATGTATTCGCTGTCCAGTGAACAGCAATATATGGGAATAAAAAGCACTCAATTCTTACTGCACATTTCGTTCACTTCCGTTAGACTTACTATAATAATATCACCAACTTATGAAAATATGCACATTTTCGAATTTCAAACACATAATTTTTGCATTTCAAACGCCTCTTCGAACAGGTACAAGTCCCTCTTCATAAGGAACAAAGCTATCTACAAGTAAGGTGGAAACCACGACCATGTTTTTGATATAAATGCGGCCTTCGTTTCTTCTGAAGAAAAGAGACTTGTACCTCTTCGCTGTCAAAATTCATAAAATATTAATTGAAATCTAAGCAAAACATAAGGTTGTTGCTTTGCGTAATTTTATAGTTTAAAACGTTTCTAGAAAGGTCGGCTAAATTCTTCTCAGCTGGCAGTTCTTCCTTTAGTTATAAAAGCTAATACTATATACTAATAAGTTAAAAAAATGTACGGGTTTATTCAATTACACATTTTTCCCTTACTACAGATGTAATTTACATTGCATTTAAATAAATTTGAAATAAAAATTTAAAAAAAAGTGCTTTTTTTCTTCTGACACACTTTTGCTATAGTATTCCTAAAGCCCAGGTCAGTCAGTCGGAAAAGCTAAATACAACTTTCTTTGGGAGCAGCTCAATAGCTAAGTTTCTTGCTTTGTAAACTGAAAAAAGAAAAAGAAAAAAAGAAAGATAACGAGGAATGGTAGGACAATAAAGAAACTCTCTAAAATCTAAAACCATCAGGCCTAGTTAAATTTATCAGTAGTCAAGGATATAAGCCTGCGCATTCCCTAAACAAATTTTAAAATCTTGTTCTTTCATGTGCCTGAAATATTTTCTAACTAGATTTAATATTTGACAAATAAAGGCACTTGTTTATGCTAAACGTATTGTTCTAAAATACTTTATCTATTTTCATTCTCCTTTTAACAAAACAAACATTTCCATCAAAGGCATGATAAATTTCTGTTAGAAACCACTGAAATATATTTTTCTCATGTAGCATCTCACTACTCTACACGTCCTACGTTGTAAGATTCTCCACTGTGTAATTCTAAGTTACTGTTAAAAGTGAAGAATCTTAAGAACTAGTAAGCGAACAATCGCTTGAGTTCGTGAGATAGTAAATAAACTTGGGAAGAGTTAAAAGACCCTTTATTATTCAAATAAGATTTAACAGAACTCCGTCTTGGAGTTGTACAATAAAACCGACACTTGGGCTTCAACTTAAGAAACTAAGAATCAAACTAATCTTAACTAAAAGAGATATAGCCGAAGCTATCAAGATTCTAACAGAGTTTGCCCCTTAACGCTAATTGACTGCGAAGATATCAAGGGCCTAAAGCACGGCCGAGCGTAATAATAGCTTACGAGAGAGTAGCCTAAAAAGGCGGACGCGTGCAGCCAGAATATCTGGTGTCTCTCTCACTAAGGCAGTAGAACTTCGCGGTTAAATACCGCTCTTCCTCATTAGCATTCAGACGCGATTCTAAAACTACGTTCTGGCAGGAAGTGGTAAGTTGAAATAGGAAAGGAAGTTTAACTCAAAATTTAACTGTTAATAAAATTAACATAATCCTTACAACCTTACAATCGGGCATAAATTCCGTACAATTCTTTTCCACCAGTCACAGAAATATCTGGAATGATTCTAGGAAACGCAAGATTCTATGTTATTGATTAATATTTAACTATTGATTATTGATTAATATTGAACTATTAATAGAATACTATTGATTAATAGTATATACTCCGACTGCGATGTATTTATTCCAACGTTTTTTCCAATCTTCGAAATATGTTTAAAGTTGTTTTTGTGAAATCCCTTCAGGACTGGCAACGAATTTTCTGTTATTGCTTCAATCGAATTAAAAACGTGATCACAAAGCCGTAATTTCAATTGTAGAAATAAAAGAAGAATTACGCAGAGCCACATCAGATAAGTATGGAGCTTATTCAGCCGTATTTGTTGAAATTGTGACACAAGTTCGTGAACAGCAAAAGCACTGTGAACAGTTGCATTATAATATTTCAAAATAGGTATGTTTCCTTCGCCACAATTCGGACCGTTTTCCACAAATTTTTTCGCACAAACGCCACAAACACACATATGACTTTTCTTGTTAAAAGATTTGCCAGTCAGCAAAATGGACAGTCGAAGAAAACAGTAAACATTATTTTAATTTCTATAATTTAACAATATATGTTATTATAACTCAAGAGGGCAGCCCTATTGATGGATATGTTTGTTTAGAAGTATAGCGAGGGTTTCCAGTTTGGTAAAATCAGGAATTGTAAATGAAAGATAATAACGATGGAACCATAATTTCTGAAAATCTTACTCCTATTGTTAATGGTGATATTTTATATCAATATGGAAATTAGTATCATAAGTATTTATGTGCATTACATTTAATTATAAGTAATGATTATGTAAAAGTTTTATTTTGTAATATTCTGTGATAACAAGAGCCTTCCCTGAAGAATTATGATTGTGTGAACTCTCAAACAAAGACTTTTGGACTGAAATGCTGAAAAATTCAATAGGTCTCTAAAAAAATAAAAATGTATTTAAAAAAATTATATTTATAAAATTATCCTTTACAGGATCAAAAATTTTATGATTTATGTTTTTTTTTTTTTTTTTTTTTTTTTTTTTCATTTGCTAGTGCTTTAACGCTTTTTCTTTAAGAAGGCTTCTTTGTCGCTACGCCTTTTTCGTCTTGAAGGGCGGGGGATATGTAAGAAAAATAAAGAATATGTAAAAGATTAATTTAGCAACTTAAATTTCCCTTCTCTATTCTAAAAGTAGTAACACCACTCTCTTGTTATTATATAATTTATAATTTAACAGACGAGAATAATTTATGAATAACATTGTATTTTTAAGGGGAAAATTAAGGAAATATTTTCTTTCTTTCCAGATGCCGGTGATTATTTATGCCCAAATCAATTATGGAGGGCAGCCTGTTCAAAATGCTATGGTAAAGGCTAAGGTGACTGGACCGAATGGAAATGGAGAATGGAATTTAGATCTCCTTGATGATGGACTAGGAGGTAAACGATTTTTTCCTTTATTACCGCTTGTAAGTTATTTTAAATGTTCATGCAAAATGTGTGCTTTGCTTTAAAATTTAGTTCCTGTCTCAGCTTATGCACTTTATTGTTTCTACAAAAAAGAAAGTTTTCTTCACTTTATTCATTATCATCTAAGATATTTAACGAAATTCTTACTTAGAAAAGGAATTATTTACACACATTTATTTATAACCAGTTCAGATATATTCATTAATAAATTGCTGTTATTATAAATATATATTTTCATTAATTTCTTTATAAATTTCTCTATTGTTTATTTTCCGGTGGTAAAAATTTCGGGAACCACTGACTTAAAATATTCACGCAACAACAAAATCATTTCAGAGAATCTATGACTGACCTAACATTTTAAGATCTGGAGCCATTTTTTGGAATGCTTCTGAAATGAGAGTTGGTTCACTCAGGTGGATTAGAATGAAGGAAAAAGATGAAGTTTTTGAATAATATTAACTACTAACAAATCAAGGCAGATTTTCAGCCTATCTGGAAAGATTCAATATTCAGGATTCTGTTTTGTGAACTTTCTGTGAAGTTATAGGTGACTGCCGATATTTTTTACAGGGTTGTCAGCTGGCCAACAGAACTATATCAAGGCCCCGTTTAGCAGACGAGAATAATTTATTTTTGTGTTATGCAGTCTAATTCGCTGGGAAACTTATGAAGGTTACCAATAGAAACAAACCGCTAATAGGGCATTAAGAGCTAATTTCCTTTTATGCTGTGTTGTCATAAATGTGTTTTTCCTTCTTTTTTTTTTTTATACTTAACCCCCCCCCTTTTTAGTCAAGTTAGTGTCGCTGGCTGCCCTTGTTTGTCGTTTTTCTTATTGGGACTGACGCTTTAGTTCATAGGCCTGGTTTTGCTGGTTTTTCTCTGCTTGTATATTTACCTATAAGATTGCCTAAAACAGATATTGTACAACTGCAATCTGAGAAATATAATAAAGTTGGCGTTCTATGTGCAATTTGAAAAATTTTGTTTGCAATATTGTGACTAGTAGTGTAGAATTTTGATTTCAAAACCTTTCTTATTAATTTGTATAACTACTCCTACATATGTTATGTTATGTAACATTAAGTACGTTATGTTTTATTTATACGTTACGTAAGAAAATTTACTAATCATCGTAGTTTTTTCTAAAATCTTTTGCTGAAGCGAAAATCCGTGATCTGAAAGAATTTAGTTTATCTGAGTGAGCATAGCTCTTTTGAAAAACTGTCATCGCTTTTATTCTCACTTAAGCATTCTAAGCTAGCCCTCGAGCATGAAAACTTTATTCATTTTCTCCCTACTAAGCAAATAATTCATTTTGAGTTTAGGATTTCTTTATTTTGAGAACACCCAATATCTGAATTTAAGTAATGTACTATAACTTTTCGGATTTTAATATGAATAAACTCTTTGAGATGATATAACTCATTAGTTACGTTTTGCCAAAAATTACATAGAAATGTAAACTAAGTAATAAAGATTTTCTGAAATTAATCCTTTGATTGGAGGCATCACTCCTCCAATCAAAGGATTAATGCTTTCTTTTTATTTCCATTTCCTTCAACCTAAACAGTTTTTAGCTTGACTTCAGCTGTGACAAATTTTAGAAATAATAAATATGAGGAAATACAAAATATACAATTGTACTCAATTCATTATGCTTCATGTAAAGTTTATTTTTTGGGAGTGAACGTCGGTCAAACATCGATTCTAAAAGATGTAGTGTGAAAATAGTATTATGAAGCTCGGACGATCAGCCAACACACTGGCTCTGAAACGCAGATCGACATGGCTTTAGAGCTACGTAAGCATTTTTCCCTCGGAAATACAAAGTACGATTTCTACACAGTAGATATTGATTCAACCAAAAGTAAGGACACGTACTCCCCCTCAAGATCATGGACTCTACAAGTACTAACCTCACTGCGAGATGGCGCCATCAAATAATACTACTCTGGAGCGAAAACTGGATCCGCACATATTAATGTATTCTTCACATTTCATAAAGTAATTTTTATCTTCTTATGCTTCGAAATGTACTGTTAATCTACAAAGTATAAACGAGAAATACTGCCATCATACTGCAAAATTTAGTCATATATAATCGGTACGTTTTGAGAGACACAATTAATACACTAACATGCGACATAACTTCTTTAACCCAGCAGTTACTGCCAGCCTTTATTTGTACTGTGTATTGTAGAACAAAATATAAAAATCAATTCAGAATGTGCAAAGCGAATACTTGTAAATTACAACATTTTGTAAATTGTAATTGAAATGATGTCATAACTGAACTGGCTCAAAATTTCTCTTCCTCCAAACATGATTAATGTTTTCAATATTTTTTCCAGATCCGGACATCACTGCAAATGATGGTATCTACAGCCGTTACTTCCTAAATTTTAATGACAAGGGTGAATATACAGTAGTAATTACAGCAAGCGACAACAATCTTCAAGCAAAAATAGGTCAAAATGGTAAGAAATTTTCTCTTCATACATGTATTCAATTTTCATTTAGAATCTTATGTAATGGCAAACAATGTTTTTCTACATCTCTAGTCTAAGCTAAATTTTGCAATGCATTTAGTTTAAGAATTTTATAATAGTATTGAACACTATTCATAGTTCAATTATTAACATTGTTGAGAAATTGCCTTGCTTTGACTCCAATTTACTTTTAACTGTAGATGCTCTAAGTTTATATATATGTAATAAATTCAGGAGCAGGAAGTTTTGATGGCATAGAACTGTTGAGCCATAATGACTAGGATATTGGAGGCGAAGACAGATTAAATCTTCAGTTTTATTTTCAGCAATATGTTGCGGCTACACACAAGTCGGCACATTAAATGTGCCTGTTCCAAAGGGCCTACATTTTTGATAACTTTGTAGCAAGAAAGCAGCAGCAGATAGACAGCAGTCTAGATAGGCCAAAGCGTGGAAAGCAAGTGCGTAATGTTCAGGATCAAATCTTAAGTCAAACTGAGTTAGTTTTGGTTCTCACAGCATTTTGATTGGATAGTTAATATTGCTGTAAAATTACTATTGGCTGGTTGAGTTTTAGTTCCATTTACATCATCATAATTACGTAAGAATCATATGACATAGAATAGTCTCGAAATGACGCAGTGCAGAGAGGAGTTACTATTTTTAAAATAGAGAAGAGAAATAATACGTTGCTAATTTAATCTTTTACATATTCTTTATTTTTCTTACATAAATATATATATATATATACAATTCTAGTCGATTAAATGTGCCAAAAAACTTATCATAATTGATCCGAAATCAATAACGCGAACAAGCAAACGCATATTCTTCTTTATGTATAGATTTCGTAAAACTTAGAAATTTTTGATTAACAGCCTCTACGATTTGGAAGCGAGCAGTAGCAACACTTTTTGAAATAAAGCATTTTTTTCTCCAACACGCGAGGCTATTGCCACTCGGAAAAATGTGTGCGAAAATGAGTGTTTTCAGAGTTTTTATATTTCGGCTGATTAAAGTCGTACGAAGATGGGAACAGTCAAAATAGCTTCCGACGAATTTTTGGGATCGGGAGTAATATATTTAATGTTTGGCAATGCTATTTTTATTTCATCGTAAAACTTCGAAAATTTGATGAACACACTCTAGGATTTGAAAACGAACAGCAGCAACACTTTTCGAAATAAAGCAGATTTTATCTTAAGTGTGCGAGACTGTTGCTACTCGGAAAAATGAGGGCGAAAATTAATCGTTTTCAGAGTTTTTAGTTAATATATCTTATTTTTATTTATTTATTTATATTTGGAAAAAAAGGGGACGTCAACCTTTTCCAGGACCCAGAAAAGAATGGTAGAGATTTATTGATGATAGCTATAGTAATGACTGAGTTAATCGTCAAAAAACACACAAACAAACATTCTTCTTTATATATATATATAAAGAGACAGAGAGAGAGAGCATTGATCGCAACATATATATATATATATTATATATCATAACAAGAGTTCCGCTGTACATGCAGGATTGCGGTAAGACTTGAAGGAGCAGAAAGTTTTGAAATAAAGCTTTCAAGGTCAAATAATAATGGAATGCAATTGAATAAGGTTATTCGGAGTATGGTTTCCTTTGACACAAAGTGATTTCATAAAGTTAACGATGCAATTTATGAGTCCCTGGAGCAGTTGGTTCCAATTCTGCAACAACGGTATGTTTAGATCCTGAAGGGTTATGGAAGGGGCAAAGTTGTTGCAGTTTCCTCCTAAGAGTATCCCTAACATGTTTAATAGGATTAAGGCTTGAGGTCTAGTTTTACAATCAACGGTTTATCACCCTGTAGAGACATTAGGTATATTTTTGGTAGCAGGAAAAATGAAAAATAGCAACCGCCTTCGCCGGGAATCGAACCACCGACCTCTGGAATACCGGCTCAGCTTGAAGACCATCCCACCCCGAAGGCCTGCTAGGAAAGTGGAAGAAATACCTTATAACCCTCAGGTTCCAGAAATTTATCCTCTAGAGTAAGTTAGTATAAGCGAGCAGTGCCGTCAATAAAATTGAACTGAGAGCCATTTATAACCTTGAAAAGGCAACGTAGGGCTCTAAAATCTCTTCCATGTACCTCGCAACAGTCTCAGGCCTTCTGCCAAAGACATGGAGTCTGTGCTCCCTGTCCAACACCAAACTTTCACTGCCATTAATTCTCTTTTTCGGATATTGGAGGATAGGTAATAGGTCCCTGGTTCTTTCTAGATGAAAGTACGTCGAGAATACCTGATTTGCCGGCGTATAAGATATTTATATCTTATAATTTTTATACACATTTTTGAAAGATAAAACTTTATTACTGATCATTATAATAAATTTACAGTATTTTAAATATAAAGTAATACTTTCTGCAAATACCCAGTCTATCTGAGAAAGAACACCTTTTAATCTTCTTCGTCAAAACCCAGACACTCATCTTCAGAGCTAAGTGAAGAGTCACTTGAAGGCTCTTCTAATCTCATAGCATCCGAATCCTCATACAGCAAATTATCCTCTGTACCCTGTTTCCATGTTCTTTAGCATACGCAATCACACGCAGCTTGTATGCTGTGTTAAGCAATGCCGACGTTGTTTTTGAGCCATAACTTGCCAACAAATTTAAGTTGAAGAGTAGAAATTTCACACTTAAAAGTCGTTCACAAAAAATGGAAAGTTTAAACGAACTCAGTTATGATCGTCGACGGCAGCGCATGCGCATTCACTGAACTCTACGTAACTGTAATATTCCCACACTCCCGCAAGGAAAGAAGAAAAAATCGCATATAATAGAAAATTGATTATCGACGTATTCTCCGGCAAATACGGTAACTGTTAGTGTAAATCGGGGCTCATGTTTTGAAGAGAACGATCCCCCGCTGATGCTCGGTCCAAAATTCTTTGCATCATAATAAGCGAGCTCTTTTGTGTGTAAAATTGAGCGCTATACTATAAGGAAATTTTCTTGCAAAGTACGAGATCTTAGAGCCTTATTTTGGCTTTTTCGGGGGCAATTTACTCTCAGCTCATTTTTATAAACGACAATGCTTGTCCACACAGAGCTAATCTGGTAAGAGACTATCTATAACAGATCATGCCCTCCTATTTTCTTCTTAGAGTAATCCTATAATTATGAAAATTTTCAATTACTTTTTCATCCCTATTCTTGGCGCGAAAAATCTAAAAACGATTTCTGCGGAATTCGAAGAGTAAAACAATTGCGTAATAAAACTAAGTGGCTAACCTCGTGGGTAATTATAATAAGATTTCTTAGACTATAGACCACTTTGAAGTCATTTTTTTTTTTCAACTTGGTGTTCCCAATTATAAAGCAATCTTTCGAAAAAGAATTTTTTAGAATTTGTGGTTTCTTCATTGATTAATATGAGTATTTCATCATTAAGATGAAGAATTGCTAAAAGAGATTTCTACGCTAGAAGGAAACATTTTCAGTCAAATCTGTAGAAAAAGCATTGTAAAGGGGAAAATATATAGAGAAAATTCTTCCTTTAATTCCGAAATATTATGAGACAGCTACACGAAAATACAACAGCGGGAATGCATAATGCTTTTTAAGTCTAGTATATCTCAAGAAATGGGCAAATCCCAGTTGTTTGAATCCCAATTGACCCAATCTAAGTTTAAATGCTTTCAGTAGAGGGTTTTAAAGAAAAACTTAACCTCATTTTCATAAATTCATTCCAACATCTCACTTACATTCAAGAAAGAAGTATTGATATTCAGAACTACAAGCCTTTTTTTTTTTTTAAATCAGTTCCAAGGCTTGAAGCAATTTCTTAACAAGCAAAGTTGGCTGGATGTCTGACTTTATAATTAAAAGCCTGCGAGTGCATCTTTCAAATGGGGGATGCCATTGTGAAGACTTTCAAACTCAAACAGGCTCGAATTGGCGTTACGCATGAACGGAAAGCCACAAAAACTTCAATACAACCAGCTCATGCGCAGGCATTCGAATCCGATCGAATTAGCAGTAATCAACAGTTTTATCCATTCTACCACCGATGGCAACCAAAAGTATAAATGGTGATTTTTTAAAAAATTTATATGCTCTAAGCGTAATTTTTTAACACTATAACTCTTCTGAATGCTTTTAGAATTATTAGGATCTTGTGAATTTTTCTTGGGCTTTACAGGCTTGCACTCCAAGTCGGAGAGAATATTTTAGCTATTTTCTTTTTTTGATAGAAGCCATAAGAAAAGATTATTATTTTAATAACTATTTCATTAGTTATAGAGATTATATTGCACAATTATTCAGTTACAAAAAATCTGATTTACCAAAAACATTGCACCTAATGATAAATATTTGAAACGGTTTATGCAATTCCGAAAGAAGTTCTTTCCGGGGGGGGATACTATTTCAGGTCATAGACTTCGTACTCTGGCAAAATAGAAAATATTGCCACTTAAAAAATTGTTTTTATTAAATAAAAATTGTTTCCTACAAGCGACTCAGCGAGATGAGTGTACAACTACGTCCTGAATGATTAATTAAATCTTTTCTCTATCAATTAAATGCAGAAGTTTCTGCGCTATGTTAATCTCTGCAATGAAATAATATAGCAATTTTTTCCTTTTCTGTTTGGCTTTGTTATTTCGAATAGCTTACGTTAAATAAAAGATTTTATAATATATACCTTTAACTTATGGGAGACCTATCGTAAGTGCTTAGTTTAAGTCAAATGTTAAATTGAAATCTGAGTGGCAAGATCAGATTGAAAACTCTTTTCAGTCTTATAATTTTTACATTTTTTAATTCTTTAAATATGTATATTTTTTTAAACTTTTTTAAATTTTAATGTTAAATCCCTTGGGGTGTTGGATCACTCCCTGAGCTGTGCAAGTTGGATTTTTTTAATTTTGTATTTATTCTCAATTCTGATTTGAAATAGTTTCTGTATATATAATATGCATTAGAAAAAAAGTTCCGTCCCCTTTTACTGAGAGAAGTCGTCCGTTCTACGACGTATGAGGGGTAATCCTATATATTTCTTTATATAATTAAAGTTTCTATGAGCGATATCGATCAAGGACTGACAAACTTAATATGCCTGAAGAAGAAATTCATTAAATGAGGAGGAAGATATTTTGGGAGCTCAGCGATAATTTTTAAGTGATAGTGTTAGTGTTCTCAGACTGTCGCGAAATTAATTTCATTATACATAATATGAATAAATATCAAACGTTTTCCTGTTCTTCCGTATTAGCTTCTACCCACCCGTATACACCGCTGATAGTACCAACCATGGCTCTGCTTTCCTGAAAGCGTTGCAACAACCCGAGACCTGCTCTTTCTCTTCTGGAAAAATACAACTTTTTATTCATTTTTTATGTTTCTCTTGTATTAATTTCTACTGCATTTTGCATCACACATTTATTATTCTACAGAGAAGTGAAGCAAATGCGATTTTTTCCTTTGCTGTTTGGCCATTTTTCCAGCCATGTCGTACTTTGCCAATCAAACAATAAAAGTATACATGGCGGAAGATGTATAGTGGAAATGTAACATTATCAACTGTATTTTTAGTGCTTATAAAGTAACGGCGAATACATACTTTCGTTGAGAATTTAAAATAACAAAATCGCAAACACGTATGATTCCCTTCAATACAGATTTCTTTAACTTCAGTGAGATTACCCAATGTATATTAATCTTAAGTACATGCGTATTTTTTAATTAACAGGACCCCAGCCTTGCTGTGGCAGCAAGGTAGTAAGTGAAACCGTTCCAATTGGTGCCTTCCAAGAGTTCATGAAGACAACTTTCTCGACCATCAGTGGGAAGCCAGAAGGTGGTTATAAACCATCTAGAATTCTCGATCTACATATAATTGCCTATGATATGCCGTCTAAAGTATCATTGCAGTGGACAGCACCTGGAGCAGAAGCGGATACCGGACAAGGTAATTAAGTTTGTATAAATCAGCTTTTATTGATTTCGATTACGGTTCCAAACATATTTAACATACTTTAACTATAGTCCATAAAATCAAAACGTTTCATGTGACTCGAATTCCTTTCCTTAATTGTTTCTAAACTTATTTCCTAATTAAAACACTTTTAAATTCACAATTTAGCTAAATAATGTAAGTTGATTCAATTAAGCTATGCGATATTTGGAGAGAACCTATATATTGTGAATCAAGCTTAATTTAACTGTGTTTAATTAAACACTGCGACATCTTGATAGTGTAATAATTTTTAATTTTTCAAACGTAAGTGAAATGTTTCAAGTATAAACAGGAATTTTATGCTCCGTTCCGTTCTTGTGAAAACTTTATCAGGAATTTCCATGTTCCGTTTTTGTAAAGAAGTATACAGGAATTTCAGTGCTTCTTTCTTGATAGTGAGGAATATAATATTATAGTGAGGAATATAATATTATAAAGAGTGAGAAAATAATACTTTTAGGAAGTTTCATGATTCATTCCTGCAGGGAGTTGAACTAGATCTTTAACATTCCATTCTTGTGGAGAGATTTAACAGGAATTTTCACGATCGTTCTTGTAAAGAGCTTAATAGGTATTTTCATGCTTCTCTACCTTAGAGAGATGCTCCTTTCTTGTAAATAGTTCAACAGGAATTTTAGAGCTCCATTCTATTAGAGCCAACGAAATTCCATACTTCATTCTGCATGAATACTTGCTATCTCATACTTTTTATAGGAATTTTTAATTCTTGTAAAATGTCTAGCAGGAATTTTAATTCTCCGTACTTGTAAAGAGTTAAACGGGAATCTTCCTTCTCCGTTCTTGTAAATAAATCAGCATGATAAAGATTTATTGAGCAAATACATATGTTTAGAGCAGTGCTAGTTTTGCTTTCTGTCTACATTTTTAGTTGCTATCATCATGAGTGTTTCGTAGTGAATCATCACTATACTTTTTATCGACAAAAGTTTCAGGTTTATTTTAAACTTAAAAATCAGTTTGCAAATGATTCCTTTGATGTACTATTTTGGATCAATCAAAAAAATTACGTCAGAGAAACTGTTAAGGAACTTGAAATAAGTGTTGGTAATATGGATAAATTAGTTAAAGATCATTTTAAATTTAGCAAGAAGAGAACCATTTGCTTTCCCTGTTTTTGATGCCCGAACACAAAAAAAAAAAAAAAAAAAAAAAAAAAAAAAAAAAAAAAAGAGAGAGAGATTAGTGCTTATCATAAAACTTCTGCAACATTATAAAAAGAATGGAGACAAGGTTTTGATTTCTATAGTATTCATGTTGAAACATACATGCACTGCTTCACATACTGTAAGGTATTTTTTCCTTCCTATCTGCATGCCTTCGTGGTGCAACGGTAGTATTCGAGAGATCCAGGTTCGAATCCCGGCGAGGGCATTGCTTATTTTTCACGTCTCGAACTTCAAAATAATAACCTAATTATTCTACAGTATAGTGACAAAGAATTTCGAGTCTGATAAGCAGTTTATTGACTCTATTAAAGAATGCATCGAAATGCAGTCAAAAACCTTTTATTCTTCTAGAATTCAGAAATTTCTCATGTGGTTTTCAGTGGCAGATGACTACGTCGAAGGATTTTATATGCAAGTCCTATTATTATATTCAATAAATAATGTTTAGCTCATAAATTCCTGTTTATATTTGTACATGAAATAAATATTCCAATACACACCACACCCACAAAAATCCTTACCCAGCCTTTATTTTCACTGCTGCTGATCATGGACGAATATTTTTAATCACAAAATGATTTAAATGACTTATATTCATATTTTGGCATTTTTAAGTTTAAGAAATCAATTTTGTAAAAATTATGAAATACGCTTTCTCGATCACTAAGAAATACTTTCTAGATTCCTGCGACACAAATAGACCAAGATATATTTCACTTTAAAACTGGAAATAATATTCAGAGGCCATACACAAACGGAAAAGCGAAATGTTTGTATTTGGTACGTAATTGAAAATAAAATATTAATTCAGGAAAAGGCTTCTGATGTTAATGTATTAAGTAGCGAGCACTTCTCTTCAGACTGTCATGAAACATATTAATTAAAATCCGTTTTTTTAAAAAGGAGATCTTGTTCATAGAGTCTTAGAGAATTCGTACTCTAGAATGCATAACTGCATTTTGACAAATTCGTACTCTAAAATGGACAAATATCCAACTCGTAACATTATTTGCATAAATTTGAAAAAAAAAAAAAAAAAAAAAAAGTTATTTCTAGTTTAATGAATATTTTCTGCGATTAGATCATGACTTGAAAGCAGTAAAACTTCATAAGAATATTAATAACATGTTTTCAGCGTTTGAAAACTTACACATTTCTTGCGCAAAAATTCTTTCGGGATTCCAGTTGTGACAAAATTATAAATTAAAGAACACATTAATAAATACCAAAATGGTATCCTGCGTTTGTGATATTGCTGTTGAATTGAATTTTATGGTTCAAGTGCGAAGAACATGATATTCAATAAATAAAGGTAACACACAAAACTTTAAAAAAACGCCCCTTTGGCCGTAATGTAAAATTTGAAAGCTTTCAGATTTGTTATTTTTAATTGATTTAATTGTTTGTTGAAATACTTTTTCCATGAATTTTAAAAAACTGGAAATTGAACCCACAACCATGGTAGGGGAATATACCATTTTGTAAAAGCAACGATTTGAGCATAATTCCTCGAAAACTGCTCACCTCTTATGTTTGAACCATTGTCGTATTCTTGGCCGCGTAAATTACTAATATCTAAACCATTTTCCTCTTTAAAAAGAATATTGTTCGTCCTCCACCGGTCGTATCTGTTGTGATACAAATGAAACTTTCTTCAATACTCATGTCTGTATTTTCTAAATTAAGATACCTCATACAAATTGATATGTGTGCTTGATGGCTGCCATCAGGGGTACAATCATGTAAAATAGAAAAATGCTTTGCCTGTTTGACCGTATTTAAAATAATTTGCTTTATATTATCCCCTACAAAGCTAATTGTTTTATTTTTAATTTTATCTCCAAGGTAATGAAGCATATTTTTTTTAGTTTGAATTTTATTAATATATACAGACAGGATAGGGTCAAATTTTTGTAATCATTTCTGCGCACTTTAAAAAATTATTATCTCTTTGCAATAAATTGTTAGTGAAAATACGGAAGACTAAGTTTTGTTTGGCTGACAGCTAAATGGCATAGCTAATTCTTTCAATAACATCGCGCCAATGCCTAGTCTCTCTTTTTTTTTTTTTTAAATAAAATTTGAAATTCCGAATTAACAGGTTTATTCTTTCGTAATCGTTCTAAGAAATCGTATTAACTCTTTCGTTGTTTGGCAAGATTCGACAAAAGTACATCTAAAAAAAATTACGTCCATTTTTGTCTTTTGGGAAACTGAAACTCGAAACCAGGTTTTGGTAATATCCAGGACCATTTTCTATTGAGGCTTGAACTTGGGATGGCAATATTGGACTTGGACATAATCCGGAATCCTCAGGCACAAGCAAATGTGTATCTACTGCAGAAATAGCAGATTTAAATAGTATTTCATCTGTTTTTTTTTTTTTTTTTTTTTTTTTTTTTTTTCCCGACCGTCTGCATTGAAGTTAAAGGTAATTCCCGAGTGAAAATACTTTCTAGCTATTTCTGATTATTATGCTCTTTTGGTAATTTCAATGGTAGCTGAGACATTGATGGACCTCTTTGGATTTTCGGAAAATTGAGTAATTTTAAAGTTCTAGTTTATTAAGTCTTCCTCTCACTTTCTTTTTCTCCATTACATTCTGATACTCAGATAGTTTGTTCTGTTTTTCTTCCGACATCTGGGGGAAATGAAAACAGAAAAAGTGGAAGCAAAACTAAAAGAAGAAAATAACTATTGCGTAAAGCACTTCTTAAAAAAACTTGGAAAGTTACTGTTTGAAATATTTTACCTTGCTTTTGAAAAAGTGAATATATCTTAAACCATTGGTTGGAAAATATATTAACTATTAGATCAATACCAAATAATTCAAGGAGGTGGTAGTACTCTTTTGTTTATTAAAGTAAATAAATCAAATTTGAAGTATGTATTTAAGACGTAATGAAATAACGATTTTTTTTTTTAATAGCTAAATATCGGAAACTGACCAATTTTTGATTTCAAAATGCTTTGTATATTACTACTTTACTTCAAATCTCAAATACATATATTTTAAATCAGTGGTATGCCGTAAATTTGTGAATCCTTTCTTTTCGAAAGTTAATAATTTTTAGTTCAATAAACAAATGGTTCATGTAAAAAAAAAAAAAAAAAAAAAAAAAAAAAAAAATTCGAGTAATTATGCTCAGAACCTCGCTTTTCTGAATTAAAAAGCTAACCTTATGTTTTGTTAGAGGCTTTAGTTAGAGTTTAGGTAGCTCTTATCTTTTTTTATGTAGAACAACAATAACAACAAGTAATCATAAAAAAAAATTCTCAAAAAGATAAGTATTGCAGAAATTACTACGATTGCAACAGTAGACACAAAATAAAGACTACGCAATTTGTCGAAGGCGTCTACGACGCTCCCCGTACCCTTACATATGCATGGGCATCACGTATTTTCGTTCACATAATATTTGCAAGATCATCTCAACTTATGTCAAAAGCTGCAAAAAGCATTAACTGATAAAAATCAAAGAGATATAAATATTGCAGATCTTATGCATAAACTGCAGCTTTTGCAAACTTTTGGAGGAAATGTAGCGTCGCCGGCTGAAACTGTAAGCTATATCGTTGTCAACATAGCGGTGTGCAGAAAAGAATTTTGGACATGTCCCTAGATAACAGCTCTACACAGCATTTTTTGTGCCCTGATGTAATTACAGTTTGCACCTTGTCGTAAACTACACTGCGAAACAACAGTCTATTCAGCGCAAACTTATTAGATATGTATATTAATTTGTTTTTAATTTTAAGATAACA